GGTTCTCCCACAAGGGTGCAGGGGCCCAACAACTTGGGCCATCTTCCACTGTTTTCCCAGGCCATAGCAGAGAGCTGCATCAGAAGAGGAGCAGCCAAGACTAAAACCGGTGCCCAAATGGTATGCCGGCGCCTCAGGACAGGGCGTTAACCAGCTGCGCCACAGCACAGCCCCAAAGAACTTTCTTTAACATTTCATATGGTGTAAACAGAATCATTTTCTTGGCATATGACCCAGTTACATGGGACCCTACATTCAAAGGGGCGCTGTGGGGTTTTATGTTCTGTGGTAGCTATCTTGAAATTCCTAATAATTTTATGTTTGAAATTGTGTTTTATAAATGAGACCTGGGGCCAGCGCTGTGGTGCAGCGGCTTAAAGTCCTGGCCTGAAACGCCAGCATCCCATATGGGTGCTGGTTCTAGTCCCAGCTGCTCCACTTCCAATCCAGCTCTCTGCTGTGGCCTGGGAAAGCAGTAGAAGATGGCTCAAGTGCTTGGGCCCCTGCACCCACGTGGGAGACCCAGAAGAAGCTCCTGGCTCCTGGCTTCTGGCTTCAGATCGGAGCAGCTCTGGCTGTTGCGGCCATCTAGGAGTGAACCATCGGATCTAAGACCTCTCTCTCTGTCTCTACCTCTCTCTGTAACTCGGTCTTTCAAATAAATAAATCTTTTAAAAAAAATGAGGCCTGATGGGGCAATGGAATGTGCACCAGAGGCTTGAAACCTCCATTCACACATGATCTAGCCTCCTGCCTACCTCCCAGTGATGGGTTCTCGATACTCTGTCTCTAGTCCCCTAGTACTCCTGGCCCTGCCTGGTTCCTCCAAACCCCCTGCAACCACTGCTGTCCCTAAGAGGTCTGGGCATGTGAGGGTTGAGGTTGGGTGTACATGCCCATGGGGTCTTGGAGCAGGGCTTGACAATGGCTGTCTGGCCCCCAGCTGGCAACATCATGTGTGTCTGGTGGGCAGCTAGTAAAGGCCCTGCCTTTGCAGAGGCAGTCTTATTGCCTGTATCTGATCTAGGTCCCAAGTGTGTTCTGGGTAGAGGTTTAAAGATCTTTGGGGGTCATCTGTCTATCATGGATTGCAGCAACAGACCTATGGGATGGGGAAACATATGACTGAACTTTCCAGGTCCTGCCCTAGCCAGATCATGGGATATTACTTTGATGACTGACAGAAGGGAGATTAAGGTAGCTATTAGACCTAAGTACATGCCCCATATCGCAGGGTTGAGGTCCCAAATTCTAATGAGGATCTACACTCACCCCACAATTATTGTCAGGCCTGAGAACTTTCTCTTGTCTGACTCCATGCCTGGGAGGGGCTTGTCTTCCTCCTTCTTCTAACCATCCTAATGCTGACTTGCGTTTGTCTCTGCTGGCCAGCTCTAGATACCCGTTGGAACAAGTCAAATAGCAATTGTTTACCTTCGGTAATTGTGCATACAAGTTACATGCTGATGCTTTCATTTTAAATGAACATTGTTTAATGTCAAAATGATTGGTAAAATTTATGGCAATACATTTTTTTAACTTAAATGCAACATTACAGCCAGTTGAAAGAATCTGCAAAAGAGAGGAAAAGGCTTTATGTTAAAGCTGCTTTTCTTACCTTTTGAACACTGTTTTCAGTTTGTCTTGGACCTGCAAATTATTTCATGGGCCCTAGGTGCTGTTGACAAATTCTCAGAGCTTTTGTTTCACTGAAAGTCTTTATTTTGCCTTCATTTTGAAGGAAATGTAGAGTTCTAGATTCAGTGTTTTTCTCCCAAAAACTTAAACATTTTCCATTGTTTTCTGGCATACCTAGTTTCCCTTATGTAATATGTATTTTTTTTTCCTCCAGCCGTTTCTTAAGAATTTTCTCTGGGGGCCGGTGCCGGCTAATCCTCCGCCTGCGGTGCCGGCATCCCATATGGGTGCCGGGTTCTGGTCCTGGCTGCTCCTCTTCCAGTCCAGCTCTCTGCTATGGCCCGGGAAGGCAGTGGAGGATGGCCCAAGTGCTTGGGCGCCTGCACCTGCGTGGGAGACCAGGAGGAAGCACCTGGCTCCTGGCTTCGGATTGGCATAGCTCCGGCCGTGGCAGCCATTTGGGGGTGAACCAACAGGAGGAAGACCTTTTTCTCTGTCTCTCTCTCTCTCACTGTCTAACTCTGTCAAATAAATTAAAAAATAAATATATATATATATAAAAGAATTTTCTCTGTATCGCTGGGGTTTAGCAACTTGATTGTGGTTTGCTTTGTTGTTGCCTTCCTTGTATTTATATGTTTGAGGTTTATTGAGCCACCTGGATCTGTGGGTTTAGGGTTTAAATCAAATTTAGAAAATCATCCATTATTACTTGAAATATTTGTTTCTTTAAGTTTATGAATATATTTTAAAAAAGCTAACTTGAAGTCTTATCTGTTAACTCCATCAAGTCTATCAGTTTTGGTTCTTGTCCTACTGACTGATTTTTATCTTGGTTATGAGTCTCAGGCTTCTTTGCATGTTAAATAATTTAGAGTGGACACTAAGCATTGTACAGTGTTACATTTTTGAGTGTCTGAGGTTTTTTGTCTTCATGGAAAGATTATTACTTTTTTGGGTAGGAACTTAATAATCATGAATCTGCTTATGAAACCTTGTTCGTGTGGTGCTAAAGTAGTCTTCTCTCCAGAACTAGTTAAGCCTTACTTGTAGGCCATGAACTCGTGGTGTCCATGCTAAATTACCTGGCTCTTCAGTGATTTGTTCCCTTGCTTATTACTGAAATCTGAACATTTCTCAGACTTGTGTGAACTCGGGATATTAGTTAGTCTATAGTTCCCCCTTAGTTGTTCTTTTCCTGTTAGTTGCTTGTCCTCCGGCCTCATGTAGTATTAACTTTTGCCTTAGCAGTTGTATTCAGCCGGAGATTCAAGGAGACCCTGTATAGATTTCTTGACCCTATATAGATTTTTTCTTTGAGTTGCTCTCTCCTCTCTTTTCAGCCTTCCCTGGAAATTATATCTGCCTCAGCCTTTCCAAACTTCAGTCTCTTTATCCTCAGCTCCACAACAGGATTATACTCTGTTTGGGTTCCTTATTTCAGCACACCTTTCTTGAAAGTCTCCAGGAAGAAAGCTGGGCCATCCTAGGGCCTATCTCACTTTCTCATTTCTTGCAGGGCTCACAGTTCTGACCTGTCTGTTATTAAATATCTGAAAGCATTTATTTTATATACAAAGGTATTTTAAGAATTCCATGAAAAATGGAATTCAAAAATAAGTTTATTTTGCCACAAAAAATATTTTGCAGGGTGGGCATTTTAAGTCATCTCTTGGGATGCTTGTATCCCTCCAGAGTGCCCGGTTCGAGTTCCAGCTACTCTGCATCCCATCCAACTTCCTGCTAATGCACACCCTGGGAAGAAGCATATGTTGGCTCTGCCACCAGTGTGGGAAACTCAAATGGAGTCTGGGCTCCTTGCTTCAGCCTGCTCCATCACTGGCTGTTGCAGACATTTGAGGAGTGAACCAGTAAGATGGAAAATCGATGTCGTTCTCTTTCTCTCTTCCTTTCAAATAAGATGAAAATTAATAATAATAGAAAATTAATAATAATAGAGGGAAACAGCATTATGGCCCTGTGAGCTACACTGCTACCTACAGTGCCAGCACAGGTTCAAGTCCCAGCTGCTCTGCTTCCTATCCAGCTTCCTGCTAATGTGCCTAGGAAAGCAGCAGCAGATGACTCAAATGCTGGGCCCCTGCACTTACGTTAGAGACCAGGAAGAAGCTTCTGGCTCCTGGCTTTGGTTTGGACCAGCCTCTGTCTCTGTAACTCTGCCTTTCAGATAAATAAATAAATCTTAAAAAAAAAAAAGGGGAGGAGGATGATTTTCTTTGCATCAGACCATCACCAAAGTTTTGTTTGTGGCACAGCTTTCCTTTAGGCTTGTGGTAATGGCTTAAATGAAAATTGATGGAAGCCTTGATGAGTAGTTTCTCTGCCAAGAAAGTGTGTGTGTGTGTGTGTGTGTGTGTGTGTATGTATATGTGTGTGTGTATATATATATATATATATATATATCAGTTTTCGTCAGCTGTCCTGACGGAGCTAGGCTAAGATATCTTCCTGCCTGTTATTTAATCAAGGCCACACAGACAGTGCTCCGGAAGGATGACCCCTGCCTCAGGAAGTTTTGAATCAGTTGCTATTTATATCCAGTATGCAGTAGAACTTGAGATCAGGTCTTTACCCAGCTGGTAGGAAAGGTCTTGTGCCAAATTTTACATTTGAGGAAGTAGTGTATGGGCCTGAAAGAGTGAAGCATCTGTGTGAAAGGAAGGAATGTGACAGTGACTGTAAGTATTTTTGCTGATTTGGGTCAAGGGTGTGGTGGCAGAGATGTGGGAAGTTCAGTGACAAAATAGGTTATTACGTTTTAAAGCCACTGAAAGTTAATGGGCACCTTGGACTGTCTTTAGCGTGGTGTATATAGAATCCTATCCTGCTAGTAGTAAAGTAGAAGTAAGGGTTTGTGATAGGCTAATATTGTCTATCAACATAAGACGTGAGCAGGAAACTAGCTCTTAGTGTTTCCAGACTAACTGGTTCTCGCTTTGGATGTGTACAGGACTTTTGGGTTATTTGAGATGTAATTCTGCATATGCATCTTTTTAGAGTACTCCATTAATTCTTATTTCAGCAGGAGATTTCAAAAGGATTGATTTAGTGCAAAATAATACTATATATCCCTATGTGTAATCTCTTATAAAACCTTATTCTGCCTAGCTTTCGGAAATTAAATATGGCAATACATTAAAGCTCACAATTTGAGAGATACCACAAATAACATTTTCTTAGAATATATGACCAGCTTAGGAGTACATTTATGGAATTGAATTATACATTTGTACATATGCAATGTGAATGAATATTTATGGGTAGGTAGACAAAATTGTTGGAGTTTTAATAATTAGGAAATTATAAAACTGTTAACAGTTTTTCTTGTCTCATTTTAATAGGGTTATTCAAGATAGCCATTTTCAACAAAGATCAATGATCTAAATTTAAAAAGAGATTCCTGAGTTAAACATGAAAAGAAAATACTGGAAACACTTGGAGTCTGACAAGATAAAGAATACAGTATTTCACAGCTACTTGTAATGGAACCTTTGTGAAATTCATTACTTGTCATGCACCCAACTGGGAACATGGATGTTGGTTTTTCTCGTTCTGCTGTTCAGACACTGTCAAGAAGCCACTGCAAAAACATCAAACAAAAAATTTCTCAGTGGGAAGGAAGGACTAATGGTATATCTAACCCAGTTAAATGGCATCCAAAGGACTTTGGAGTGAGATATAATAACTATCAACAACAGATTCTTCCTAAGAAAAATCCTGTTTTGGAGGGACCGAGCAAAAAGCTGGATGTAAGCAACTCTCAAAATGTGGGTCTAGGCATGAGTGAAGATGCAAAAAGCTGTGATCAAAGTGAGGATGAAAGTGAAAAACATGAACTTAATACACGTTTCTTTAAAAATGAATCAGAATCCAACTGGGTATGTTCTCGTATCAAACAAATTGAAAGCTGGAAAGAAGTTGTTTTGGATCCAGAGACTTCATTACCTCCAGGAAACCTCTATACCTCACAGATATTATGGAAGAAAATAGAATCACTTCCCCCAAATAAAGTCTTAAATTTGGCTTTAGAACATTGTGACTCTTCAGAAAAAGAACTGAATTTCAGGGTTCTGGAGAGTTCATATGGAATAACTAAGAGCTTAGAAAATATTTACTCTGAACCTGAGGGGCAAGAATGTGGATCGTCTATAAATCCTTTGCCAAAACCTCGTAGGACATTCAGATATTTGTCTGAATCTGGTGTTATGCCATGTAAGGAAAGAAGCTGTGACAAAAAATACTGTGAAAATACTTCTTGTGCAGAATCTTCTTTGGCTTCTTCTTCTCGGGAACCTGAACCAAAGAAATATGGTGGAAAGATCAGAGGGAGGTCCAAAAGGTATGTTTTTATCCTATGGAGAGTGACATCTAAGTATTTCCCTCACAGGTTTGTTGAGCTGTTTTTTCCTTTTCCCACCTATTTCCATTTCCCAGCTTAGGTGGCAGCCCTAATTTGAACATGTAGATGTTAATTAACGTGAGGGGAAAGTAGAGATGTAGTAATATCTAACACACTCTGCTGACATAAGGACATCAGAAGACCTTCCATTTTATATCTTTAAGAATCTGAAGGGAAACAAGTACATTCTTCCATTTCAATTAGGGCACGCTGGCCTTAGCTCCAGCTTTCATTAGAGAGTGAACTTTCAGGGAACCCAATGGAGAATATGAATGTGATTGGCTGGAAGTCTCTCATTTTTCTCGTGGTACATATAGGGCACCCAGTCGAGTGTATTATTCTTAGATCTTTGATAAAAACACCTTTGTAATTCTGCATGTGAGTTCTTTACTTATTGATTTCTATCTACTGTGTCAATTTAAAGATTAGAATTTTGAACAATAGAACTTTAAACATATCTCCTTTCTTAAGGAAATCCTTTGAATTTGAGGATATTCAGCACTTTCGAAATCGGAACTCACAGAAGATCCATGAAGAACTTGGAAGAAATTCTGGTTCAGCACTTTATTACACGCAATCTGAGGATAATATCTATGAGGATATCATATGTAGGTGTCCACAACTTTGCAATTAAATTTAATGAGTATGTATTTGGTGAAACCCTTAATTGTAGGATGGCATTTTTTTTTACAATCAAACATACCTTGCTCTGGATTTTTCTTTTTAATATGAAAACCTTTGGTATATGAGTTCTTTTATTCTTTAATGAGTTTTACATCCAGTGTAATGGAATGCTCAGTTCAGAAGCTGTTTATAGTACAGCATTTGGAGAGTTAGTTTAGTTTGGTTGGACACTAAAGTGATTTATAAGCTTACAAAGACAGTGATTTTAAGACTCACATTGCTATAGCAATGTAGAATAAGAGAGCTGATGATGATCAGGTTGTTTGTTTCTTTTGCTAGTTGTACTCATTTTGTTTCCATTTAGTTATGTTCCTCTAAGCCTTTTTCCCCTTATTACTCTCAAGATCCTGCCAAAGAAAATCCCTATGAAGATATTCCAGTGCAACCTCTACCCATGTGGAGATCTCCTTCAGCATGGAAGCTGTCACCCCCTAAATATGCTTTCAGAGCACCCAAGGTATAACCAGAGGATTAAATGAAGGAATCATTGATCTCTTGTTTATGGTCTCTACAAAAAAGTTAAAATGGCTTAACTGGGGCCAAAACTAAAAGGCAGTGAAATGTAGGTTATATTGTTGGTGGAGAATTGTTTTTTATTTTAAAGATTTATTTATTTATTTGACAGTCAGAGCTACAAAGAGGGGAGTGGGGAGAGAAGGGTAGAGAGAAAGAGATCTTCTGTCTGCTGGTTTACTTCCCAGATGGCTGCAAATGGGCTGGGCCAGGCAGAAGCCAGGAGCTGGGAGATTCAACCAGGTCTCCCATGTAGGTGGCAGGGACCCAAACACTTGGGCCATCTTCCGCTGCTTTTCCCAGGCCATTAGCAGTGAGCTGGATTGAAAGTGGAGCAGCCCATATGGGATGCCGGCATCACAGGTGGTGGCTTTTACCCAGGATGCCACAACGCCCGGCCCCTGGTGGAGGATTTTTGTTTCCTGTTTTATCTTTTGGACCACACACATCTTTTTGTTTTCTTTGTTCTGTTGTTGTTGCTTTAGCCCATCAAAAATTTTTAATAGGAATGCCTCAGACAAGCCATGACCATTTGGTTCACTGTCATTATGTTATTAACCTAAGCCCAAATTAACCTTTGTGGCCTGGAGAGCATTTGAGCCCCCTAGAGGCAAAGGCTCTGTTCAGGTTATGAATATGCTGAGCAGTTGTTTTCTGGGCATTTGACTGCATTATAGTAGTAGAAGAGCTTTGGATTAGAAACCTGAGAAACTTCTTTACAAATGGTGAGAAGGAAATTATGGTATCTTCATGTGAGACGATTTGAAATGAGGGACAAGCTAAATTTTTTCTAGGCTAGCTTTGACTTTGTGTGAGAACACAGGCATTAACCAGATGAGCTTATCTTACCGGTACATCTTCTGTTTTAGCTTCCTCCCAAACCTCAGTTCCTTCACCGGAAGACTATGGAACTGAAGAACTCACGAGCTTGTTTACGGCCAAAGCTCACAAAGGATACCACTTTGCCTGTCACATTAACTGAATGGAAGCTTTTCAGAGCTGGAGAAGTTGCAAACAGGAAAAGGAGAAATCTTCCAAGAGTAAGGACTCCAGTGTTTTCATGCTTCGACTCTTACTTCAGCTTTTTAATAAGAGAATAAATAAGCTTTAGACTGAAACGAATAATAGGTTGGAATTAGAAGATCTGGAAAGGAACACGTGATTTTTGTACCTGATTTTAACATTAAATAAAAGTCACAGCTGTTTATTGGTTTAGTAACTGCTAACTGGCTCCTTGGGAAATAGTCTGCTCCAGAATTACTTTCATTTTTCTGATCTGTTTCCTGCCCTTAATATGTGAAAAGTTGGAAGACGCACAGTTTTTATAAAGCACTAAACTGATTTCTCTCAGTGGAAAAAAAGTCTTTGGATTTTTTTATTTTCTCATCATGGTGAGGAATATCGCAGAATCAAAGGTTTAAAGGACTGCCCAGCAGCCTGCAGTCGCCCTCTCCTCTGGTAGTGCATGCTGGCACAGCATGTCAGCTTTCTTCTTGGAGAAAACAGAGCATGTGTTCATAGAATACAGACATCTAAGGGACTGTGCTTAAGACCTGATCATTGGAATGGCATTAGCAGATACTTAGGAATTATGGACTGCAGAGTTAAATGAGATCCAAGGAGATTTTCCAAGACTTTTGATTTCATGCTTCAGTATTTTATATACTGTGGATCTCAACTTCTCAAAGCTTATTCTTCTGTGGTTATAGGTGATAAATCCAACTTTTCCTTTTCTACTATTTTCTCAAAGGCTTTTGGAGAAGTAGGAGAAAGAAAATGGTGATGACCTCTTGATTGTTGGTCAGAAACAGGTCATTACCCCTTCTGTCATCCTCCTTGGATGACATGCTTTTAGATGTCTCTCATGGAATACACATTTGGCTTTGGATTATCTTCAGGAACAACTTTCCATTAGAAAAGAGTTTTCATTTATTTCCCCTTTGATGACTGCAGCTGTTCTTGGAAGGGAAACTGCTTTCACATTTGGAAATTGCTGGTTTAGTCCAGCTGCCTCTTTTCCCACCTTTCCTTTCTTTCCTGCTGTGGAAGCATGGGTGGGATTGTTGGCTAGAGTACATTTCCTAGTGTTTTGTATTGTTTGAGTGCAATTCTATAGCACTATGGTTTCTATCATTTTTTTAGACAACCTACAGTGCTTCCTGCAACTAGAAGGTATATGTAGATTCTTCCTAGCTCCTAACTAAAATTTTATCACTTTATCTCATATTTCCAGAGCACGTGGCTTCTTTTCCTTTATAATATTTGAGTATTCCTCAAAAATATTTATTTACTTGTTCAAGAGGCAGACAGAGGAGAAGGACAAAGACAGAGAGACAAACTGATAAAACTCCCATCCACTGCTTCATTCCCCAAATCCCTGCAATGTCCTGGGCTGGGCCAAGCTGAAGTCAGGAGCCAAGAACCTATGCCAAGTCTCCCATGTGGGTGGCAGGAACCTAACTGCTTGAGTCATCATTTGCTGCTTCCTAGGGTCTGCATTAGAAAGAAGCAGGAATAAGGAGCAGAGCCAGGACTCAGACCCAGGCACTCGATATGGAATGCAGGCATCCCAGCTGGTGTCTTTTCTACCAGACCAGTTGTCAATACCTTTTGCTTATACTTCAGATACACATGAATAATTATGCTATTTGAGTCATCATGTACCCACATATGTTTACTGTTACATAATCTTCCCTATACTGCCTAACACTAACTTTCAAAGATTTATTTATTTGCTTTGGAAGTCACAGTTACGGAGAGAGAGGAGAGAGAGAGAATGAGAGAACGAGCTTTTCCATGCACTGGTTCACTCCCCAGATGGCCAACAATGAGCAGCAGTGGGCCAGGCCAAAGCCAGGAGCTAGGAGCTTCATTCTAATTTCTCATGTGGGTGGCAGGGGTCCAGACACCTGGGCCAACTTCCTCTGCTTTTCCCAGGACACTAGCAAGGAACTGGATCAGAAGCAAAGCAGCAGGGACATGAACTAGTGTCCTCAGGAGATGCTGGCATGGCAGGTGGCAACTTAACCCCCCACTATGCTACAACAATTCTGTCCCCCCTTATTTGGTTTTTAAATGGTAGTGTTTAAGAACATTAGCATTTTTCACTTGAATGGAAACTACAAAAATCTTTTTAAGAGAAAAAAATAATCTAGTACTGTGGGAATAATCTGTGTGTTGGAAGCTCATATTTCTCACTTGTTTTTCTTGCAGTGAACTGATTCACTGCCCACTGATTGCTGAGATTACAAGAGAAACAATTGCAAAATAGCAAGAATATTTTTTTTCAGGCAACTTTGTTGGTTGTAATTTTATGTAATGCTCTTAGTAATCGTAATTCTCATTAAGGATGAATACTTAAGAAAAATTTGGAAATTTAAGAAAAGCATACATGGCAAAACTGATTAGTTTCTCCTTTAATAAGTGTGTGTTGACCTGCTCTATTTCTTTACACTTTTTTTAATTCCAATCTGTGGGTCCCTCTCTCCAACCTTCTCCTCACCCCACACCCCTTTGACAGCAGCAAAAAAAAAATTTTTAATAAGTAATGTTTACTAAATAGGAACAGTTATATAACAAATTAAATGGTCCATATTCTGCTTGCTTGAGATATAGAATGATGAGCAGAAGGGAACAAAACAATTTTTGTACTTGAACATATCTGAGAATTTCTCATCTTTAGGACATATTTATTTATTTATTTATTTTTTTGACAGGCAGAGTGGACAGTGAGAGAGAGAGACAGAGAGAAAGGTCTTCCTTTTGCCGTTGGTTCACCCTCCAATGGCCGCCGCGGCCGGCGCGCTGCGGCCGGCGCACCGCGCTGATCCGATGGCAGGAGCCAGGAGCCAGGTGCTTTTCCTGGTCTCCCATGGGGTGCAGGGCCCAAGCACCTGGGCCATCCTCCACTGCACTCCCTGGCCACAGCAGAGAGCTGGCCTGGAAGAGGGGCAACCGGGACAGAATCCGGCGCCCCGACCGGGACTAGAACCCGGTGTGCCGGCGCCGCTAGGCGGAGGATTAGCCTAGTGAGCCGCGGCGCCGGCCCTTTAGGACATATTTATAAAATGAATTTTAATGTTAGTACCCCCAGCAGCAAAGAGTATTTCCCTTGACAGAAGCTTTCTAAGTGTGGTGATCCTCTCTTTGGGAAGAATTCTTGGCAGCAGAAATAACTGAGCCCCACCCTGCCTTCCAAGTGAATGAGTGTCCCTTCCACTTCCTTTTCTGGGCAGGAAAAAACTTGGGTTTGATGATAAAGGCTTGGTCACTGTGTGGAGTACAGTATCCACATCTTCATTTTGTGACATGGAATGACAAGAAGTCTTTCTAAAACCCCAGGGAGGAGATGCCCTTTCCTACTTCCCTTACCCATGTTGTAGGGACTTGGTATTAGAACAAATATCAGGGGCTGGCGCTGTGGCTCACTAGGTTAATCCTCCGCCTGCGGCGACGTCATCCCATATGGATGCCGGTTCTAGTCCCGGCTGCTCCTCTTCCAATCCAGCTCTCTGCTGTGGCCTGGCAAGGCTGTGGAGGATGGCCCAAGTGCTTGGGCCCCTGAACCTGCATGGAAGACCTAGAGGAAGCTCCTGGCTCCTGGCTTCAGATTGGCGCAGCGCCAGCCGTGGCAGCCATTTGGGGAGTGAAACAATGGAAGGAAGACCTTTCTCTTTGTCTCTCTCTCTCACTGTCTATCTGTCAAATAAATAAATAAAAGAACAAATATCATCCAACTAAAGATTACCATTTAAATTCAAAAGTGAGAGCCATAAAGGTTTTTATTTATAAAACAGATATTTTCTCTGAGTGAGAATCACTAATAATAATGCCATCAAGCTGTAAAATTCGTGAATGTTGGTTTTAATTTGTATTTTTCTGGCCTTTTCCAGTTTGTATTGAAAATAGATGATATATTTGAGTCTAAGAGAGGGAAGAAGAAGGTAAAGTTACACCCTTACACTGGAAAAGAGATACCTCCCTCAAAAGGTAAGAATTGTGTTCTGTTCCAGCCAACTGTAGGCTGTCAGCATTTGAGGGAAAAATAATTATGTGACTTAATGTTTGATATGTATTAACACTTTTGGTTTACTTTTTGTTGATTGCACTTAAATATAACGTTTAGAATGAGGGACAGTTTCTCAGATCTCTTTTATTTAATTCTGTGTCAAGTGATAGCTATTGGATGAATAAATGAAAAAATTATAAATCAAACTAATTTTCACAGGCACTCTGAATCATTGTTTTGTAGTCCTACTTTGATTTATAGGTATTTAACAGTATAGATCGACTCTTTCAGTGCAGAAATGAAAATATTAGATAGACATAGGCTGAAGCTGTATGTTAGTAACTTACTAATAAGTTCAATCGTTTTATCATCTTGCAGATGTCAACATAAAACTTACATTGTTTTAATTAAGGCTGAAGCATTTATAATAAATTACCTAGAAAATTTTTAAAAATTTATGAAGGGGGCAAGCATTCATCCTAGCTGTTGAGATACCTGTGTCCCATATTAGAGTATCTGGGTTAGATATGCAGCTCTGGCTCCTGATTCCAGCTTCCTACGAATGCAGACCTTTGGGGGGCATTATATTTCAAGTATTTGGGTTTCTGCCACCCACATGAGGTCTGAATTGAGTTCCTTAATCTGGCTTCAGCCTGGCTGACTGTTGCAGGTATTTGGCAAGTGAACCAGCAAATGGAAGCTCAATTTTTCTTTCTTCTTCTCATAAATAAATAAATAAAACCTCATTTAAAATTCTTAACTTGGTTGTCTGGCAGTTAAGATATGGAGGGGTGGATGTTTGGCACAGCAGTTAAGTTGCCGTTTGAGATGCCCATTCCCCTATCAGAGTAACTTGTTGAGTCCTGGCTGCTTTGCTTCCTGCTAATGCTCATCATGGAAGGCAGCAGAAGATGGGATGGGTAGAGTACTTGGGTCCCTATCACCTAAGTGTCTATAACAGCCAGGGCTGGATCAGGCTGAAGCCAGGATCCTAAAACTCCATCCAGGTCTCCCATGTGAGTGGCAGGGACCTGAGCACTTGGGCCATCCTCTGCTGCCCTCTCAGGTGCATTAGCAGGGAGCTGGATAGGAAGTGGAACAGCCAGGGCTTGAGCCAGTACCAATATGGGATAATGGCATCTCAGGCACTGGCTTACCCCACTGCCTCAATGCCAGACCCAAGGGACTGCCCTAATTTTGCAGACAAACTGAGCCAGAAGGGGAAATGTAGATTTGAATCAAGGAGCTTGACTCCACAAAATCTTACCCTTTTCTTTCACCAAAACAATTACTCTCAATTTTTCTCATAAACTCAAAGTTTATGAGAAACTAGAAGTTTCTCTCTTTTGTGTGTGTTTCCTTATCCTCCACAAGGGTATTATCAAAGGATTTTATTTGTATAATTTCATATTATTTTTATAATTTAAAATACAGAAAATAGAAACTAATGTGAAATAGTGTGATAGATCCTTTCTGATGCATTATTATTTTATTTTATTTTTAATATATTTTTATTTTTAATCCACAGATAGTAATCTCTCATGCATTAGTATTCATTTTCTAAATAGCCCTGTGTGGCACATATTGTTGTTACTTCATAGATAAGGGAATAAATTATAAATTGCAGATTATGTAACATATGAAGACACTAGAGCCAGAACAAGTGCTTGCACACATTATCATTTCTCCACATTGATAGCACTTTGCTGATAACTACTCTCCAGATACTCCACTCTGAATAGGTTCTTAATGATCCTAGTTCATTCTGTATGCTTTATGCATATGGGGTAGGAACATTTTAGTATATTTCACTCTAAGACAAGTTTTTGCAAACCAAATCCTTTTTTTTAAACTGTGTCATTGTTGAAAAAAATTCTTCAATAGCTAGAATTGCCAACTTGTAGCATCAAAAACAAAAGATAGCCCCTACATTGTAACTCTTCCCAAAAAGCTGGTTTTCTTTTTGTTTATTTTTAAAGATTACTTATTTATTTGTTTGAAAGTAGAGTTAGAGGGAGAGAGGCAGAGACAGAGACAGAGACAGGGATAGGGATCTTTCATCTGCTGATTCACTTCCTAAATGGCTGTAACAGCCAGGCCTACTCCACGTGGAAGCCAGGGAGCTGCATCCATGTCTCGCACATGGGCACAGAGACCCAAGCACTTGAGCCATTTTCCACTGCTTTCCCAGGCACTTTGGCAGGGAACTGGATTGGAAGTGGAGCAACTGGGACGCGAACTGACACTCATATGGGATGCTCGCCCTTCAAGAAGAGGTTTAACCTGCTGCACCACAGCCACACCCCAAAAGTTGGTTTTCTTTTGCAAAGAAAATAAGCATTTTCTCAGCCTTTGTGATCAGTTCTTTCAATGGCCAAGAGGAGTTTTTCTCCTGTCCACAGATCACTCGGCTCTGTCATCAGAATTCTCAGATTTTTGTGTTCCTCCTTACGTGCTTGTTGACACATCAGCAATGCCTAAAAAATGCAGATAATTACACTTGCCTACTCTGTCAGTACATGCCAGAGTTTGCGAATAAACTCCAACTGAAACATTTCTTAACTTCCAGTTTTCAGGTGTTACAGAATGATGTAACATTCTGCCTTTATAATGTTATTTGTTGAAGTCACATATAAAAAAGGAATAACCTAGTACTTTTTTGTAGTCCATAGAGATTGATTCTCAATAGATTTCCCTGTTGATTCATAATTCCCTTAACCTTCATTCATTATTTAGAATGCAGGTCATCAAAGCCTATGACTGTCCATGTGCTAGACCCACGTAAATGCTGCTTATGTAAAGTCCTTTCTAGTTCTACTGCCTTTTCTCACTGTCTTCATTCTTTTCTTTCTGAACACTTGGTAACACTTTTTCTATGGAAATGGTCCTGCAACTCATACTACTCAGACTTTGAATGCCTTCCTTTTAAAATAATCTTCATGTGTTTTATAGGTCTTTCAGTATCAACCCCCAGCAAAGCTGTACTATCATTATATAGATAGAAATGGATGTTTAGCTATTTCTAACATCTTATTTAACTTGTGGACAATTAAGGAGTGTGTGTGTGTGTGTATCCTACCTGGCATCTTTTTTTTTTTCTTTTTAAAAAAGATTTATTTATTTTATTTGAAAGTCAGAGAAGGAGAGGCAGAGAGAGAGAAGGGAAGAGAGGGTTCTTCCATCTGCTGGTCCATTCCCCAAATAGCCACAATGGCCAGAGCTAGGCAAGGCTGGAGCCAGGAGCCAGGAGCCAGCAGCTTCATCCAGGTCTCCCACGTGGGTGCAGAGGCCCAAGCACTTGAGCCATCTTCCACTATTTTCCAATGCACATTAACAGGGAGCAGGATGGGAAGTGAAGCAGCTAAATGGCTGCAATGGCTGGAGCTGGTCTGATCCAAAGCCAGGAGCCAGGAGCTTCTTCTGGGTCTCCCATGTGTCCACAGAGGCCCAAGCACTTGGGCCATCTTCTACTGTTTGTCTGGGCCCTTGCAGAGATCTGGATCAGAAGAGGAGCAGCCGGGACTAGAACCACACCCACATGGGATGCCAGTGCTACAGACAGAGGTTTAGTCCACCGTACCACAGCACTGGCCCCATCCCAAAAACTTTTATTTGTTTATTCAAAAAGCTGTTTTCCCTTAAATTATGTGTCTGGGATTATGATCCATAATACTCCCTTATGAAAGCCATTCAGCCTCTTATCCTCAAGATAATTAAAACTTTATTGGGGGGCCAGTGTTGTGATGTAGTGTGTCAAGCCTCTGCCTATGATGCTAGCATCCCATGTGGGTGCCAGTTCATGTCCTGACTGCTGCACTTTTTTTTAAAAGATTGATTTATTTGTTTGAAAAGCAGAGTTAGAGAGCACTCCCTGCTAATGTCCTAAGAAAAGCAGCAGAATATGGCTCAACTCCTTGGGCCCCTACCACCCGTGTGGGAGACCCTAAAGAAGCTCTTTACTCCTGATTTCGGCCTGGCCCAGCGCCGGCCACTGTGGCCATATGGGGAGTGAACAAGTGGATAGAAGACAGCTCTCTGTCTCTCCTTCTCTCTATGTAACTCTGACTTTCAAAATAAATAAGTAACTTTTTTTTAAAATAAAATACCTTATTGGGAAAAATAAGAATAGTTCAAAGCAGTTTGAGTACTAAGAAAATTCATAGTAAAGGAAAAATCACAGTAATGGCCAAAAGTAGCTTAAAGGTATCATAAAAGAAGTAGAATGTTACTTCCTTAAGACTTCCTGGTTACCCGTTTCTCCTAGTCCCCACATTTTCTGTTCTAAACTTGCAGTCTTGCTGGTGTGCAGGTTTTTGTTTAATCAGCCTGATGTTCTGTCTTTGGTACTTTATTTGGGAATGCATGGACAAAGATGTGAATGGAAAGATAAAATCTACTCTGAAATAAACTATTTAAAACTAGTCTGAAATGAGGGAAACTGAGGAGTGAGGCAGAGTGGGCAGAAGATGGAATAGTTTCTTCTGAGTCTTTTGCAGTAGTCCCCCTTACAGTTTTAGTTACCTAGGGTCAGCAGTAGTCCAAAACCAGTAAATGCAATGTTCCACAAATAAATACTTTTTGTAAGTTTTAAATTGCACGTTTTTCTGGGGTGCATGATATGAAATCTCACACCTTCTGGCTCCACCTGGGACACAAATCATCCCTTTGTCCTTCCGTATCCACAGGATATATGCTACCCACGTATTTGTCACTTAGTAGCTGTCTTGATTATCAGATCTGTCACAGCATCACAGAACCCGTGTTACCCTTACAAAGTGGCCTAACACTACATCACAATGCTTACGTCTTTCAGCTCAGCTCATCTCGACATAGGTAGTGTATCATCACCAGAAGGGTGAGTACAGTGCAGTAAGGTACTTTGAGAGAAAGAGACAACATCCACATAACTTTTATGACAGTGCATTATTATAACTATTCTGTTTTATTATTAGTTATTATGTTAATCTCTTGCTGTGCCTAATATATAAATTAAACTTTATTGTGGGTATGTATGTATAGGAAAGAACACAGTATAAAGAAGGTAGAGTACAATCCATGGTTTCAGGCATCCACTGGGATCTTGGAAAATACCCCCTACAGAAAAGGTGGAGCTACTGTATTCTCTTTTGGTAACCATCGTGGTGTAGCTAAATGGTTTGGGAAGAGACCCGCATCCTTATTCATCCTTACTCCAGGTCCCCAGCTCTATGGAAGTTGACATTGTCCTCATCTTCATGTACTTCCTGCTGTTTGACAATACGAATGGAAATTCTTCCTCTCTTTTCAGGTGAAACCAGTGGGAACGAAAGTGATGCCGAGTATCTGCCAAAGAGTGAGTGAGTCAGTGGGGCTGCTCCCTTTCTCGTGATGATCATGGGTATGGGTGGGGTGGCCCCAGCCTTTGTGAGTAAACGTGTTTTTCCCACTTGAGCTTTGATTTTGTTGTTGATGTCTTCATTTCCAGAACCCATTGAGATTTGGGGAACTAAATAGTACACCGTCAGATGTTTGACAGTGTTGAAAATCTGCTGTAGTGGAGTGAGGCAAACCTGGATGGTTTTAGGGTGGAATGTTCTTAGGGGAGCAGCACAGAGCTGCATGTCCAGACATTTATGCCATAGTTTCCTGGCAGCCAAAACAGTGGATATGAATCATCCTCTGAGACTAACGCTTAGCATTAAATATCTGATTTTACAGTCACTCAAATGTAATTATTTAATTAACTTTGATGTCTCTGACATTGAGAAAGGAAACACTTCTGTGTTACTTCTTCATAGGCATTTATATTCCAAATTATTGTGCTGTCTGCTTTGTGTTAGAATATAAAATGCATCATGCATTTCTAGCTATATATTTGTCCCAAGCACATCTTGGTGCTCTGTCTCATTCACCTAATGATTTGTCACAGCAAGTTATTTAGTTCCTATTTAACTGGCTGACATACTAAGGCATGGAAAAAGTGGGAGTTGTGAATTACCAAACCTGAATATGGGGCAGTTCCAAGTTCGACACTAACGTTATGATTAATAGTCTTGTGCTTCCTCCACCGGCCTAAATTGTCTCAGGTGTTTGATTCTGTAGCCTGATTGAAGGTGAAACCTACATCATCATCAGTTTCAGCCTAGATGTGTAGAGATGACTAATTTCGTGCTGCTGCCACATAGAAATAGGATCTCACATTTTCTTGACTTGAACTCAGCCCTTTGGGTCAGTAAGAAAGCTTTGCCTCCAGCACTAAACGTACTGAGGTGCCTCCTCCTATTTTTAGGTGTTCTTAATATTTTGACCCATAGTGTAACTTTGGGGCAGTATACATATAGCTCAAAAAAAAAAAAAAAAAAAAGAGAGAGAGAGAAAGAGAATGAGTTTTTTGATCAGTGGCTCAGAATGACTGATAAACAAATCTCTGGGACACGGGGACTATTTCTTTTTTAACTACACAGTTTCCTCTGGGAGTGGGGGTGGCTTCTCCCAGTTCAGAATTTGAAGGTAAGTGAGAATAGAGGTGCTATCCAGTTTGGGATGGGATTGCTATCTATTCTTTTTTTTTTTTTTTTTTTTTTTTTTTTTTGACAGGCAGAGTGGACAGTGAAAGAGAGAGAGAGACAGAGAGAAAGGTCTTCCTTTTGCTGTTGGTTCACCCTCCAATGGCCGCTGCGCATCGCGCTGATCCGAAGCCAGGAGCCAGGTGCTTCTCCTGGTCTCCCATGCGGGTGCAGGACCCAAGGACTTGGGCCATCCTCCACTGCACTCCTAGGCCACAGCAGAGGGCTGGCCTGGAAGAGGGGCAACCGGGACAGAATCCGGCGCCCCGACCGGAACTAGAACTCAGTGTGCCGGTGCCACAAGGCGGAGGATTAGCCTATTGAGCCGCGGCACCGGCCTGCTATCTATTCTTTAAACAGTATGCTTTGGAGCTGGCACTGTGGTGTGGTAGGCTGAGCCTCTGCCTGCAGTGCCAGCATCCCATATGAGTGCCGTTTTGAGTCTTGGCTGCTCCTCTTCTGATCCATAGCTCTCTGCTATGGCCTGGGATAGCAGTGGAGGATGGCCTAGCTGCTTGTGTTGCTGCACCTGCATGGGAGACCTGCAGGGAGCTTCTGACTCCTGGTTTTGGATCTGCCTAACTCCAGCTGTTGCGGCCATCTGGGGAGTGAACCAGCAGATGGAAGACTTTTCTCTCTGTCTCTCCCTCTCTCTGTCTGTAACTCCACTTCGCAAATAAATAAATAAAAATCTTTAAAAATAAATAGTTTGCTTCAATTAGTTCACTTTTTTTTTTTTTTTTTTTTTTTTTTTGACAGGCAGAGTGGACAGTGAAAGAGAGAGAGAGACAGAGAGAAAGGTCTTCCTTTACCGTTGGTTCACCCTCCAATGGCTGCCCCGGCCAGGGCGCTGCAGCCGGCGCACCGTGCTGATCCGAAGGCAGGAGCCAGGTGCTTCTCCTGGTCTCCGATGCGGGTGCAGGGCCCAAGCACTTGGGTCATCCTCCACTGCACTCCCAGGCCACAGCAGAGAGCTGGCCTGGAAGAGGGGCAACCAGGACAGAATCCGGCGCCCCAAACGGGACTAGAACCCGGTGTGCCGGCGCCGCTAGGTGGAGGATTAGCCTATTGAGCCGCAGCGCCGGCCCAATTAGTTCACCTTTTTGAGGAAAGTCTACTAATAAATGTCTTCTTCCACTTCATTTTTTCCCTTTTGAAATTAGCACCATTTATTGATATAAACACATATCCCTTATTAGTTATATATGCCCATTAGAGAAAGAAAGGAAGTTTCTTTAATATGAGAATAATTTTTGTTTTAATTTTCTCAACCACATCCCTTTCTGTACTTAACTTCCACAGCACTTAGTTCTTTTGTCAAATCCCTGCATTGCTCCCATGATTTTGTGGTGTTCCCAGCAATGGTATTTGTCATCAGTCCAGTGCCATTTTCCATGTGCCTTGATATGAGGCCATGACAAATGGGCTAGCACAGAGGATGTGTTGGGATGTATTTAGAGTGTTAGTTGGGACGTGGAATGTCCATCCCACTGCTCGTTGGAGGTGGAGTGAGATCCCTGGGCACCTAGGCAGTCTGCTCTTGTCCCTGTAGCATGTCACAGCCCTTACAAGTGTTTCTAGTGGCAGGTATTACTTAGTCAACATTTATTCAGCAGTGACTGTGTGAAGATTAGTCCTGTATGGGTTGTGACCTCTGGGTGCTAGAGAGAAGATAAGGCTGCAGAAGAAAAACATTGCTCTGTGATTTCATTACAGATCGCCACAAGCGCCTAGCACAACGGCAGCAGTCTTTCAAAAGAAACCCTCACTACCAGACCTTGGAGCGGGATCTTATTGAATTACAAGAGCAGCAGCTGTTTGAACTTTTTGTGGTGGTGTCTCTGCAGAAGAAGCCATCAGGAGTTAGCTATATTCCCCAGGTCATACAGCAGTTCCCTGGCAAGGTAAGAGCAAGGAGGCCAAGAGGCATTCAGGATGCTCTGGTGCCTCTGCACCTATCTGTTCCCTCTCTTCTTGTTTATTGTTATCTCAGCCAGCTGTCACCAGTACTGTGCTTGTTGGAGGGGCTGGTAAATCACTTTGATGACATCTTTGTCAGGCATCAGCTGCAACCAAAGAGGGAAAAACAAACAAGCTCCTTCTCCAAGTTTGTGTTTTTATTTTTGCCTCTGCCATTTAATTGTCTTTAGCAAGTTACAAAGCCTGAATTTTCTCACCCTTAGAGAGGGGACTAATACTAGTGGCAGAATAGGGCAGTGTTTTGAAGCATGGACTCCAAGCCAACACTCTGTGTTTGCCACTTATCAGTGCTGTGACTTTGAGTGGCTACCTGAGCTCTCCGTGCCTCTCCGTTTCCTCATGTGTGAAATGTGATCACAATAGTACCCACCTTTGTGAGTTAAGGATTAAATGAGCTAATTTATGTAAGATACTTAAAACAGTATCTGGCATAGAGTAAGCTCTGTTACTGTTAGTAAGGATTTAATGAGATAATGTTTGTAAAGTACTTAATACAGTTCCTGGAACAAAGTATGCAGGTGATAAATGGTACTTCCTATTAACACTATTACTGGGTTTTCTCTGCCTTATTTTTTAAATAAAATGATTCATGTATTCATTTAATCAGATATTTTTAAAATACCTAATTTTGCCAGGATTGGATTACGGGATACAACTGAAAAAGATCTTTACATTCCTGCTCCCATGTAGCTTATTGAGCCCTTGAGCAAACTAAGCTCACAGACATGTGGGACTTTTGGGGGGGGGGATTCATAATGTTTTTGTAAAAATAACATCAATAATTTTTGTTGCCAATATTTAAAAATCAAATTTCACTTGCTAATCTGTATTTCTGCCTTCCTGAAAAACTGGAAAGACTGCCAAGAGTCGGCATACATTCTAGGCGGTGGGAACCGGCTGAAACTGGGTGAGGAGCGGCAGGACCAGTAGAGTCACACAGGCTCAGAAGGCCCTGTGCTCGGAGTTTAATGCTCCGCAGTCACCATCCTGAAATGTGTAATCATCTTATCTTTTAATTTCTGTGTTTTTTTTTAAAGATTTATTTATTTGAAAGTCAGAGTTACACAGAGAGAGGAGAGGCTGAGAGAGGGAGAATTCTTCCATCCAATGGTTCACTCCCCAGATGGCCACAATGGCCAGAGCTGCGCCAATCCGAAGCCAGGAACCTGGAGCTTTTTCTGGGTCTCCCACATGGGTGCCGGGGCCCAAGGACTTGGACCATCCTCTACTGCTTTCCCAAGCCGCAGCAGAGAGATGGATGGGAAGTGGAGCAGCCGGGTCTCGAACCGGTGTCCACATGGGATGCCAGTGCTTCAGGCCAGGGCTTTAACCTGCTGAGCCACAGTGCCAGCCCCCGAATTTCTGTTTTATAAGTGAATCTGATAGGACAGTTGGACATGTGCCAAGGTCTTAAAGCCTCAGTTCATACATGGCCTCACTCCCTACCACCTCCCCAGGGTGGGTTCCTGAGTTGTCCTGTTCCCCACCCCTAGCTCCCCTGGCCCTGTCTTGCTTCCTTTCCACTTCCACTCAGTGATTGCTGCCACCTTCTGTCCCTGGCAGGGGTCTGGGGGCACAGACACGAGGAAGCCTAGGATCAGGCAAACATCGGCCCTGCAGGGCCTCCAGGCAAGGCGTGAAGGCTGACTTCCCTGCCCTGGGCTGGTCGTGCCACATGTGTTTAGAGGTGACTTGGTGAGAGTGGGCCTTGCTATTACTCCAATCCATGTACCAAGCATAGCCCTTTAGTGTAGGTTAAAACATGGCCCATGTGGAGATACTTAGCTCAACTTCTACATCCCTAGAGTCTCAGTTCTGAAGCTGGCCAGAGAGGAAACCCAGCAGTTGGTAGGCCACTTGGATTTCATATTGAATGCTGGTGGCCCTGGGTACCTGTTAGGGTCTGCACTCATCCCCTGTGATTTTAGAGCATTTTAAAATACCAAATAAAGACCCGGGAGCAGGTGTTTGGTGTAGTGGTTAAGTTGCCACTTAGGACACCTAGATCCCATGTTGGAGTGCAGTTCAAGTCTCAGCTCTTCCCCTTACAATCTGGCTTCCTGCTGCTGTGCTCTTTGGAAGGCAGCAGGTGATAGCTCATGTGCTTGGAGTCTAAGAGACATGTCCTGCATAGGTTCTCATTTTGAGATACCTTCAACAATATTCCTATAGTAAATAAACCTCTAAATTTAATTTCTCATAAAATTTTTCAGTGTAACCTGACAGCACAATGCCACAACATGATTTAGTAAAACGGTACTATAATAGTCTAAAATAATGTAATCTTTATAGCCTGATTAATCAAGTTTTCTGTCGGGAGGAGCTTAATTTTTCCCTTCTGGTTTTGAGCAGTCTTGGAGTTGCAGGGGAGAACCTGAGCCTGAGTTAATAGGCTCAGAATCAGATAAGGGGCTGGTGGCTCTGGCAGGGACTCAGGGATGTCTCTGAGTGATTAGCATCTTTGTGCTCAGTGCTCAGGCACTCTTAGGTGGTGGGGAAGAGAGAGAGCTGATGCAGCCTGTTTTTCATTCTGTTGTAGAAAACCCTGAATGAAGATGATTAGGAATCATGTAAAAATAATAGGCTGTAATACCACTGAAAATTTGGTAGAATGCTTTTCCATTTTGAAGAGCTTAATATCCAAGTAACCCAGAGTGACTGCAGTTTTCTAAGGAAGTAAAGGACAGTTCATTTATACTAGTTATCTGAAGGCAGTATGCTAATTAGTCTTTAAGATTTTATTTATTTATTTGAGCTACAGACAGAGAGCTAGTTCACTCCCCAAATGGCTGCAACAGCCAGAGCTGGGTCTCTCTGAAGCTGGGAGCCAGGAGCTTCTTCCGGGCCTCCCACGCAGGTGCAGGGGCCCAGACATTTGGGCCATCCACTACAACTTTCCCAGGCCACAGCAGAGGGCTGGGCCAGAAGAGGAGGAGCCAGGACACAGCTGTGCCCATATGGAATGCCGGCGCTACAGGCAGAGGCTTAACTTGCTACATCACAGTGCCAGCCCCTCCATGTTCAAATTTTACATTAAGTTTTCTAACCAGTACTTAGGTTAACAAAGATTATATGCTAAAGGGAAGTGATTATATATTGTAGATTTAAAAATAGGATATTTCTAAATATTCATCTACCTGTTCAAAGTATCTTTGATTATCAGAGAATGTCTTGAGCTGACTAGTTTTCTGCTGTGACTGTATTGTAGAATGTATTTTTTATTTATCTTATGTCCCATAAGTGATAAAAATACTGGTACTGGTTTCCTACTGTGTGTGAGTGCTAGATTAGATACTCTTTTCAGGGGCCGGTGATGCGGCGTAGCAGCTATAGCTGCCGCCTGCAGTGCCAGCATCCCATGTGGGCGCCAGTTCAGGTCCTGGCTGCTCCACTTCCCGTCCAGCTTTCTGCTATGGCCTGGGCAAACAGTAGAAGAAGGCCCAAGTCCTTGGGCCCCTGCACCCGTGTGGGAGACCCAGAAGAATCTCCTGGCTCCTGGCTTCCAATTGGTGCAGCTCTGGCCATTGTGGCCAAATGGAGAGTGAACCAGCAGATGGAAGAACTCTCTCTTTCTGCCTCTCCTCTCTCTTTGTAACTATCTCTCTCACTTTCAAATAAATAAATAAATCTTTAAAAAAAAGAAAGAAAGAAACTTTTCAGTCATCTCTCCTACACTATATTACAGGATCTCCACAGGTGCCCTGTCTGAGTAACAGTAGGCTGCTTTTTCTTTTTATTTATTTATTTATTTATTTATTTATTTTGACAGGCAGAGTGGATAGTGAGAGAGAGAGACAGAGAGAAAGGTCTTCCTTTGCCGTTGGTTCACCCTCCAATGGCCACTGCGGCAAGCGCACCGCGCTGATCCGATGGCAGGAGCCAGGTACTTATCCTGGTCTCCCATGGGGTGCAGGGCCCAAGCACTTGGGCCATCCTCCACTGCACTCCCTGGCCACAGCAGAGAGCTGGCCTGGAAGAGGGGCAACCGGGACAGAATCCGGCGCCCCTACCGGGACTAGAACCTGGTGTGCCGGCGCTGCAAGGCGGAGGATTAGCCTAGTGAGCCGCGGCGCCGGCCTAGGCTGCTTTTTCTTAGAAGCAATCCTCGTGCATCCTGGGTAATTTTCTATCCTGGCCGCCTGTTTTGTTGAGCAGCACGAAGCCACTCTGAGACATCTGCTCAGGCTTAGCAGAGACCTCTTTTCTTGAGCCCAGGCCAGGCTTTTTCCTTCTCTTCTCCACTTACACAGAATAACAGCATCTGCAATGTTTTCTTTTTCAGGGTGATCATGGCTATAAGCAATCCAGAGACACTGAAGAGAGGCTCAAAGTTATCCCAAAATTCTGTTTTCCTGATTCAAAGGACTGGGTGCCAACCTCAGAACTCAAGAGGTAAAGGGACTACTTTTTCTGATTTCTCTTTCTTGGAACCACCAAAATAGAATCAGGGTATTTGAGAAATGGGCAGAGCTGAGATGAAGCTACGCTGTGGCAGGTTAAAGATGCAGTGGGAGGAAAGAAGAAACAAAATTAGAGCACTTCCTATGTGGGACTCAGAAAACACAATACTTTCATTGTCAGAGGGAAATCTGACAGTCTCTTCAGTTTGCCGGGTCTGCAGAAAAAATAGTTCTTTCAACTAGAACTGCCCCCACGTGGATGGAAAAGAAAAAAAAAAAAAAGACCTGGACTTTGGGACTCTACCGAGAAACAGAGACAAAACAGAGCAGTGTCTTCCACTAGTTCCTTAAGGTGATGGAGGAAGCCACAGCCCCGTGTGTGTTCCCCTGTGGGATTTGGACGAAAGGCGGTTTCAGTTGGGGAGCTGTAGGTATATTGAGAAGGGAGGTGTTGAAGAATTTCTTCCAGATATCTACAGGAAATTACCATTTCTAGTTAATAAAACATCATTTCTCTGAATCATGCTTATAAATAGATAACTTCTTTGTTCAATGCTGTAATTATTTTTAAAGCTATTTAGGCTGAACCAGCTTGATTAGGTGAACTGTATCACATGCTGCTGGCCCGCTGGGTGCCAGCTCAGCTGTTGCCTGAGCAGCTCTGCCTTTAAGCCTCCTGTTGCCTCCAGACCAAGCTGCTCTCTCTCATGAACAGTTTGGCCTGATCGCCACTCTCATCTCAGCCATCGATGGTGATGTACCTGTGTTGTCAGTGGCCCTGCTAACTACGTAGGCATTTCTTTCATACTGGCCTGGAAGCTCCCTGGTTGGCTTGTCTCCCCAGTAAGTTCTGCATGTTAATTTTAGAATATTTAGAAAACATAGAAGAGTAAATAAAAAGCAGAAATTAAAAATCATTGGCAATCTGGTTACATAGAGATAATCACTGTAAATATTTTCATATATTCCCTTCCAATCTTACCTTTGATCATATATATATGTGTATATGTATGTTATTCGATATGGATTTCTTAGATTAATACATTTTTTTCTTAGGTATTTTTAGTTTTTTTAGTAACTATCTTTTTATATATTTTGCCCATGTTTCTAATCAATTGACATTCTTCATATTGATTAAAAAAAAGATTTATTTATTTGAAAGTCAGAGTTACACAGAGAGAGAAGCAGAGGCAGAGAGAGAGAAAGGTCTTTCATCCACTGGTTTTCTTCCCAGTTGTCTGCAACAGCTGGAGCTGCACTGATCCAAAACCAGGAGCCAGGAGCCAGGAGCTTCTTCCAGGTCTCCCACGTGGGTGCAGGGACCTAAGGACTTGGGCCATCTTCTACTGCTTTCTCAGGCCATAGCAGAAAGCTGGATTGGAAGTAGAGCAGCCAGGACTCGAACTGGTGTCCATATGGGATGCTGGTACTGCAGGTGGCAGCTTTACCACTACCCCAGAGGGCCGACCCCCCTATTGATTTTTATGTGTTAAGGATACAATCTTTGCCTATCATTGTTCCATACGGTCTCCTATAACTAAATAAAGAATTTGGAAGGGAAACATCAAACATCAAAGTTCTCAGAATCAGCCCTAAAGGCATTCGGATCTGGCTGAAAAGCCCATGAGAGTATTTCAGGCATGGAAAGCCAAGACACTCTGGCAAAAGATCTCTGTGAGTGAGATCTCAGTGGAAAGAACAGGTCTTCAAAGAAGGAGGTACCTTTCTCTGAAGGGAGGAGAGAACCTCCACTTTGACTATGACCTTGTCTAAACAAGATAAGAATCGGAGAATTCAGAGGGCTTCCATAGCCTTGGAAACTCATGACTGGAGCATAGGGTGATTACTGATGCCATAGACAGGAGTGTCAATTGGTAAAGTCAACAACAGGAGTCACTGTGCACTTACTCCTCATGTGGGATCTCTGTCCTTAATGTGCTGTGCATTGAGATTTAATGCTATAATGAGTACTCAAACAATATATTTCACTTTGTGTTTCTATGGGGGTGCAAACTGTTGAAATCTTTACTTAATGCATACTAAACTGATCCTCTGTAAAAAAAAAAAAAAAAAAAGAAAAGAAAAGAAACTATCAACTCCCAACTTGACTCTCACTGGGATTAAACATGACAATAGGTCTGATCTGATTTCATCATCATTAAAAAAAAATCATCTATTATTTTTCACTTTATGTTTCTGTGTGGGAGCAAACTGTTGAAATCCTTACTTAATGTATACTAAGCTGATCTTCTGTATATTAAGATAATCGAAAATGAATCTTGATGTGAATGGAAGGGGAGAGGGAGTGGGAAAGGGGAGGGTTGTGGGTGGGAGGGACGGTATGGGGGGAAGCCATAGTAATCCATTATTCGTACTTTGGAAACGTATATTCATTAAATAAAAGTTAAAAAAAAAATCAAAGTTCTTTATAGCTTACTTATTTGTTTGATTAAATTAGAATTCAGCAGGAGAAAGATAGGCTTGATTAATAGCTAGAGTGGATGGATAAAAAAGTAAGGAGGCAGTGGGATTTCTAGTTTATTCCTTACATATTCCCTCACTCCAGTACAAGGCAAGATACTCTCAAGGGCTAGATATTCCTGAGCAGGAATGTGACTTGGAATAAATATATAAACACCTTCTCTTCTATCACAAATTGACTTCTGTTGGACCTTAATTTTCAACTTTTTTTTCATGAGGAATATCATAAGTGGTTGTTCTCAAAATAACTATTGGAAATTCTTTCAGTGAGACATTCTCCTTTGTCTTGACTGGTGAAGATGGGAGTCGATGGTTTGGTTACTGTAAGAAGCTCTTGGTAAGTACCAGACTTGTGCTACAAAGTTGGTAAAAGAATTAAGTTAGACAAAGAACTTCAGAAATACTATCTAAGCCTCTGAATTTGAGGGCTACTCAGTGATCTCTGTGTTAAAGAAGCTATGTTAGCTTTAAACAGCAAGAACTAGATGGGGGTTAACCATAGAGTATTCCAATTTGCTTGCTTGTTTTTTTGTTTGTTTGTTTTTTGTTTTTGTTTTTGTTTTTTTTTAAGGCAGAGTTAGAGAGATCCTCCATTCACTGGTTCACTCTGCAAATGGCCACAACAGCCAGGGCTGAAGCCAGGAGCCTAGAACTCCATCTGGGTCTCCCACAAGAGTGGCAGGGGCCCAGGTACTTGGGTCGTCTTCTGCTGCTTTCCCAAGTGCATTAGCAGGGAGCTGGGTCGGAAGTGAGACAGCCAGAACTTGAATAGATCATGCTATCAGTTTTATCACTTTTCCCATCTTTCATTATTAATTGAGAAGGATAGCCTTGGTTCCTGCTCTATATACTAAAGAACATTAATAGTCCAGATTAGCAGAAACTTGTGCTGTTTCATGTTTTGTGTTGGGTTTTCCTTTTAGCCAGAAGGAAAAGGAAAGCGACTCCCTGAGGTTTACTGCATGGTCAGTCGCCTTGGCTGCTTCAATCTTTTCTCAAAGGTGAGTGGAGAATAGGCTATATGAAAAGTGCTGTACCTTCTGAGCCTGGAGGAATTTTTGTTGCTGATGACTTCAGTGAGCAATGTTGAGTGCCACAGACTTTAACATATTACTTTAGAAAGGTGCCCACTGGCAGATTAAGAACTATAGTTATAAAGGCCTAAATATAGATCTTTAATCCAGATGCTGTTGCTTCATCATTCTCATTTTGTTTTGCTAAAACTCCTGGCTTAAGGGAGAACACAACCAGAAGCGTATCTTGGCTCCTATCTTTCCTAGACCTCACATTGCAGAGTATCATTGTCAGTGTCACCTTCTTTGCCTTTGTTTAGTGAAATGGAAAAGGACTCTTCCTCTACAACAAAGTTGACTTTTTTAAAGATTTTTGTATTTATTTATTTGAAAGACAGAATGACAGACAAAAAAAGAGAGATTTTTCATCCACTGGTTCACTCCTCAAAGGGCCACAGCAGCCAGGTTTGAATCAGGCCAAAGCCGGAAGCCAAGTACTTCATCCTGGTCTCCCATGTGGATGCAGGGGCCCAAGCACTTGGGCCATCTTCTGCTGCTTTCCCAGGTACTTTAAGGACCTGGATCAGATGTGCAGCAGCAGAACTCAAGCCAGTACTCTGATATGGATGCCAGCATTACAAGTGTGGCTTAACCGACTTAACCACAACACCAGCCCTAAAGTAGAAATATGTTAATAATTTTTCTTGATGGTGTAGATACCCCAAGAGATATAATGCTTTAATGAACTTGTGTTGGTTGCAGAAGCTTATCTTTTAAATCCTTTTAGTGTCATGTTCAAGCTTATACATCAAGGTTGGTAGTTCCTGTAATAGGATTCTTTTATAGTTTTTAACTGAACCCTTAATAAAAGATCTTCTGTGTGTAGATTCTGGATGAAGTCGAGAAGAGAAGAGAAATGTCTCCAGCGCTTGTTTACCCATTCATGCGAAGTGTCATGGAAGCTCCTTTCCCAGCCCCTGGACGCACCATCACAGTTAAGAGCTACCTCCCTGGGGCTGGAGATGGGGTAAGTTAATTCATTTTACAAAGTGTGTTAGCCACTAAAAAGCAGGTCTTATTCTGTTAGGCAGAGTTTCCAAAAGTTTAATGGCATAGTTGTCCCTTTTCCATAAACTGTGAAGAATGTTTTATTTCCATAAAACACTGGAGAAATATCCAATTGGTTTGCAAGATATGTAATTGATCCTGGGTTAAAAACTCAGATTTTCTACCATATGTGGATTGAGCCTCTTTGTAGTGACAATTTCAATGTGATAAATGAAGATTATACATATTTTTTGTCAGATAGAATAAAGAGCCAGAAGTTTATAGAAGGATTAGTATAAACGACTTTACAGACTCTTTATAGTAGACTCTTAACTTGTAACAGTTAATAACTTGTAAGAGAATGACACAGGATCCATTAGTGTTATCAGTCATTAGAAATTGTTTTCCAACATCAGCACCCCTGATTAAAATTCTTACATTTCAGTCTATTGAACTCTGCCGACCACTAGACTCCCGACTGGAGCATGTCGATTTTGAATGCCTCTTTAAGTGCCTGAGTGTATGTCATCTCATCCGGGTCTGTGCCTCTCTCCTTTTAGAGCGGAGGGTTATCTTTGTTGCCAACAGCCTAAGGTAAGATTAAACAAGTGAAATATATCATTTCATACTAGTGGCATATTTTAAAATTTGGGCATATTTTGGGACCAGCGCTGTGGTGCAGTGGGTTAACGCCCAGGCCTGAAGCGCCAGCATCCCATGTGGGTGCTGGTTCAGGTCCCAGCTGCTCCACTTCCCATCCAGCTCTCTGCTATGGCCCAGGAAAAGCAGTGGAGGATGGCCCATGTCCTTGGGCCCCTGCACCCACATGGAAGACCCGGGGGAGGCTCTTGACTCCTGGCTTCGGATCGGTGCAGCTCTGGATATTGCGGCCAATTGGGCAGTGAACCATTGGATGGAGGACCTCCCTCTCTCTCTCTCTCTCTCTCTCTCTCTCTGCCTTTCCTTCTCTGTGTAACTCTGACTTTCAAATAAACAAATACAAAAATCTTTAAAAAAAAATTTGGGCATATTTTTAAAAAATGTAAGCTTAGTCTGATCTCTCAATTACCTGTAATGCTGCAGTAACATGGGTAATTCTGAATCGTAAATAATCAAGAAGCCATCTGCATTAGACTGTAACAATGACTTCTTTGGATTGTAATGAATTTTCTTTTTAAACATTTTCATTTATTTATTTGAAAGGCACACAGAGATATAAAGAGAGATTGCTCATCTACCAGTTTACTCCCCAAAGGCCCATAACAGGTAGGACTGAGCAAGGCCCACACCAGGAGCCAGGAAGGCAGTTTAGTTTTCCCACATGGATAGGGGAGACCCAGCTACTTGAGCCATTATTTGCTCCTCTCCCAGGGTACCCATCAGCAGGAAGCTCGAATGAGGAGTGGAACCAGAACTCAAACCTAGGTCTCTGATGTGGGATACAGGCATTCCAGTGGCAAGTGTCATCTTACCTGCTGTGCCAAATGCCTTCCCAAGATTTTCTTTCTAAATACATTTTTGCTTAAGTTGTTATTAAAGATGGGTATTGCTTTTCTGAATACATGCTAATTTTTGGCATGATAAATTTTAATGAAGAGCTGGATATTGAATATTTTCAGTAAAAAGGAGCAACGTGGCACAGCCAGTTAAGCTGCCATTTGTGACACCAGCATCCCATATCAGAGCAGCAGTTCAAGTCTTGGCTACTCGCTACTCTGCTTCCAGTCCAGCTCCCTACTTATGTGGGAAATCAGTAGAAAATGGCCCAAATACTTGAGTCCCTGCCACCCATGTGGGAGACCCAAATGAAGCTCTTGACTCAGGGCTTCCTCTAGGACCAGTATAGCCATTAGAGGAGTGAACCTCTCTGTCACTCTGTCTTTCAAATAAATAAAATAAATCTTTAAGAAAAGAAAAAACCCATTTTCAGTAAAGTAAAATATTAGAAATTAATGGATATTCATATAGTTGTCACCTCCGATCCCTAACCAGCATCAGGTTGTACAGCAGTCCCCTCTTACCTCAGATTTTGCTTTCTGCAGTTCTAATTGCCTCTGGTCAACTATATTCCAAAAATATTACACAGAAAATTCTAAAAACAAATTTGTATATTTCAAATAACTTTTATTATGGTGTTTTTAAGATTATTCTATTATTGGTTGTTAATATCTTACTAATTTATAAAATAAACTTGCTCATAGGTATGTATAGAAAAAAACATGAACAAATATATAGGGTTTGATACTATCTACAATTTCAGGCATCTACTGGGGGACTTTGAACATAAGATTCTCAGTGAAGGGGAGACTGCTCTAATTCTGTAATGTATTATCTGAAACACCTTCCATATTCTGTTCTGTATGTGACACTGTTTGCTTTCTTCCCTGGCTAGCACCCTGTCAAAATGTGGCCATGCTGTGGTAGCCACGCTGTATCCATTCACCTGGCAGCACACCTACATCCCAGTCCTACCAGCATCTATGATCGACATTGTCTGCTCACCTACCCCATTCCTTATTGGAATCCTATCTTGCTCCTTACCACAGCTCCAGGACCTACCCATTGAAGAGGTGAGATGGAAGAAATGCTAAAATATTGGAACACTGAAAACTAAAAATAAGTGGTCTTTTATGAGTGGTGGAATTTTTAAGTGAATGCTGATATTATTATAATTAATATATTATGCAGTCATATTTTTGGTATTTTTAAGTGAGAAAAACTATGCTACACACAAATCCAAAGTTCTGTCTTATTTATGGTAGTGAACCATGGACTCACTCTTGTGTTATGCTGAAGGGTAGGTCCATTTTTTTTTAAGTCAAATATAAAAACTCTGGATTCACTTAAAAAATTGTTTCAAATATAGCACACATGTTGAAAAGTGCCCCAAACAAAATGTACACAAAGGTAAATTATGACAAAATGAACAGTTACACAACAAGCAAGGAAATGGGGTAAAAACACTACAGCAATGTAGAAGCATTGTACAGCATGGTTGAAGTCCCTACCATGCCTTTTTCTAATCTCTGCTTCCTCCTCCATATTCCACAAAAGGTAACCTCTGTCTTGATATTTAGGATATTCATCTATTTGTTTTTCTTTATTAACATGTGGGCATTCTTCCCTAAACAACATTAATTCAGTTTTGTCTGGTAGTAAACTTAATATAAATGGACTGTGTGTGTGTGTGTATTTTTTGGTCAAGCCTATTTTGCTCAACTTTATGTCTGTAATATTAATCCCATATTGATGAGTTTAACAGTAGTTGGATCATTCTAGTTTTGTTTGATATTGCATTGTGAAAGTACCACAGTTTTCTTATATTTCTTATATTTCTTATATTGTTGATGAGTATTTGAGTTGGTTATTTCCAGCTTGGGGTTATTATGAATAATGCTTCCATAAATACTCTAATACATGATCCTTGGTACATATATGCATATGGTTTTATGGTATATACTTGTACATTGAATTGCTGAGTCATAGGGTAAGCCTATCTTCAAGTCAAGCCAGTCTGTTTTCCAAAGCAGTTGTGCCCATTTCAGCTCCCTCCAACAGTGCTGGAAGCAGAACAGCCAGGATGTGAACAGGTAGCCTGAAATGGGATACCTACAGCATTGCAGTCAGTGCCTTATCCCACTGCATCACAATGCCTTCTCCACCCTCTTAATGATTTGTAAGCTGACATTTTATAATCTAGTTAGCAGCCATTTTGTAAATGACTTGCATTTTCATTTTCCAAAGTGGGGTTTTTTAATGTATAGAATTTCTTAATTGTAATGAGATTAAAATTATCAGCCTTTTTCTTTGTGTCTGTTGTTTATCTGTGAGCTGCTTAAGTTTTTGTTAATGAAACTGTCCTCCTACGTTAACCGCTATATTATTTTTCCTTTTACTTTTGTCTCTAAATCCACCTGGGACTTGATTTTTTGTGTGTGTGTGAGATAATTTCATTTCTTTTTTTGTACTTATAGCCACCTGTGCAAGTACCACTTATTGGAAAGACTGTTCATTCCCACTACTCTGCTGTGTTAACTTTTTAAAAAAACTTTTTATTGTGGAAAATTTCAACATAGGAAAATAAATAGGGGCTGGCGCTGTGGTGCAGTGGGTTAACACCCTGGCCTGTAGCACCGGCATCTCATATGGGCGCCGGTTCAAGACCCGGCCGCTCCACTTCCCATCCAGCTCTCTGCTATGGCCTGGGAAAGCAGTCGAAGATGGTCCAAATCCTTGGGCCCCTGTACCTGCATGGGAGACCTGGAGGAAGTGCCTGGCTCCTGGCTTTGGATCGGCGCAGCTCCAGCCATTGCGGCCAACTGGGGAGCGAACCATCAGATGGAAGACCTCTTCCCTCTCTCTCTCTCTTTGCTTCTCCTCTCTGTGTAACTCTGTCTTTCAAATAAATAAATAAATGAATCTTTAAAAAAAAAATTGTAGGCCAGGGCCATGGCTCACTAGGCTAATCCTCCGCCTGCAATGCCAGCACCCCGGGTTCTAGTCCCGGTTGGGGCGCCAGATTCTGTCTCAGCTGCTCCTCTTCCAGTCCAGCTCTTTGCTTTGGCCCAGGAAGGCAGTGGAGGATGGCCCGAGTGCTTGGACCCTGCACCGCCTGGGAGACCAAGAGGAAGCACCTGGCTCCTGGCCTCGGAGCGGTGCAGCGCACTGGCCGTAGCGGCCATTTTGGGGGGTGAACCATGGAAGGAAGACCTTTCTCTCTGTCTCTCTCTTTCTCACTGTCTAACTCTGCTTGTCAAAAAAAAAAGTTGTAAAAGAAGAATGGAAGATTAGGAAATCTTAAAAAAAAAAAAAAAAGAAAAGAAACATCAAATGTATCCTTGTGTGCCAGTCATCCTACTTCAGTACTTATCACATTATGGCTAATCTTTACCTGTACCTCTAAATATTGCGATATGAATGTTTATAACAATGTAAGGGCATTTTCAAATGTAAATATAAAACCACCATCACTAAAAAACATAATGATTACTTACTGTCAGCAAAATTTGGTGTTCAGATATCCAGTTGTGTTACAAGTTTTTAATTGTTTGAATCACTTCCAAAATAAAGTCCACAAAGTGCATTTTGTCTATATTTTTTAGTCTTTTTTAATCTATTGGTGTATATACTATCTTTTTTTAAACATGCAACTTGTTGTGTTGATGGGTTAACTTTTAAGATAGGGTACAACTTTGAGTTGATTTTGTTCCCATTGCTGAAAGAATCAAAGCATTCTTCCTGATCCAGCAGTGCCTAATGTGTTTGTTTGTGAGTGTCTCTGGTTGAACCTGCTTGTCTCCTTTGTTCCATAGGTGCTGATAGTTGATCTCTGTGCAGACAAGTTCTTACAGGAGGTGAGTGACAAAAGAGGTGATTACATAACGTTTGAGGAGAAAAGTCTCTGTTGATAATTGGACAGAAAATATGTGAAAGTACTTAGAGAAGATGACTCAGGTGAGGCTTGTAGGTTCTACACTTACCTGAGTTGACACTGTGGCTACTCATACAAGATGGACCTGAAAATTTTGGCTTAGGTTTATAGCTGCTTAATCCAAAGAAGGAAGGAGGAAAGAGATAAGTGTCATTCTCAAAAGAAGTAATCCTCCCTTCAATTCCAGATGGGTTGACCTGGTAGACTTCTAATTCAATTGAGTCTAAAAGCATTTATTAAGCACCAATTATTTCTAGATATTCTGGTAGGAAGTCGGAATCTAAAGATGACTAAGACATAGTATAAGCCTTGAGGCCTTAATCATGTAATGGGGCGTATGTCTGTGTGGGGGAGAGTAGAAGTATGCATGAAGATATATTAAAAGTTTATAAAAATTTGTACAAGAAACAGTGAACAAAAAATAAGTTGTTCCTTCTGCACATTGAAGTCATAAGGAAGAGTTATTAGTAAAGTCCTTTTAGAGCAGTCCTCTGCATGTAGACCGTGTATAGATTTGTAAGCACTGACCCAGGGTGAAAAGTTTCCCAGGACTTTGCCTTTTTTCAGACGTCTAATTAGATCATCACATTTCAAACACCCTTTGTTTAGAGGTAATCTTTGCAGTGTAGCATAAGACTTATAGATGAGAGATACTCGTTGGGAAAGTGCCAGAAAATTTTCTAAACTACATATGTTTTTAAGTATAGTTAAATATATATATACTATAAACAACATGGATCTATTCCATGTAGGGGAAGTTAGGATACTTCAACCTGACTCTTTAGCCAAAATATATACAATGTCATGTGTGGAATTTTGGGAACCTAACTAGTACATACTTGAGATTTTCTCCCTTAGAGCCCATACAAAATGTCAACTTTTTTTCCCTTAAGGTATCTGATGAGGATGAAATTCTACCATCTAAACTTCAGGCTGCCCTGATGCAAATTTTGGAAGAACGAAATGAAATCTTAGCTCAGGAGCGGAACTTTTCACAAGGTACAAATGGGCCAAAAGTTTAAGGTTATTGCTGTAAATATTTACTGACTGCCCAGTGCTCTGCTAAAATCTGTTTTTAAAAAGTGGTTTAGACTGCATACACCTTGAAAATCAGCTTCCTTGGGGCTGACCCTTTGGCATAGTGGGTTAAGCCTCTGCCTGCATCACTGGCATCCCATATGGGCACTGGTTTGAGTCCTGGCTGCTCCACTTCTGATCCAGCTCACTGATAATGTGCCTGGGAAAGCAGCAGAAGATGGTCCATTGGATTGCTTGAAATTGATTCCTGGCTCCTAACTTCAGCATTCTGAAGAGGCAGTAGTGATGGCTTAAATAATTGGATTCCTGCCACTCATACAGAAAGCCTGGATTGAATTCACAGCTCCCAGCCTTGGTCTGGCCCATCCTCAGTGATTGCAGGCATTTGATGAGTGAACTAGTGGATTGGGGTAAGGGGTGGGAAGAGTGATGCTCATTCTCTCTCTCTCTCTCTCTCTCTCTCTCTATCTCTTCTTTCCTCTGCCTCTCAAATAATTTTAAAAATATATTATTATTTAAAAATAATTTGAAACTTTAAAAATAAAAGTTGCCACAGAAAATAATCTTTTTTTGAAATATTTATTTATTTATTTGAAAGACAGAGTTACAACAAGAGAGGGAGAGGAAGAGAGATAGAGAGAGGGGCCAGCACTGTGGCTTAGCAGGTAAAGCTGCCACCTGCAGTGCCAGCATCCTATATGGGCGCTGGTTTGAGTCCTGGCTGCTCCACTTCCAATCCAGCTCTCTGCTATGGCCTGGGAAAACAGTGGAAGATGGCCCAAGCACTTGGAGGAAGCTCCTGACTCCTGGCTTCAGATCGGTTCACTTCCGGCTGTTGTGGCCATTTAGGGAGTGAACCAGCAGATAGAAGACCTCTCTCTGTCTGCCTTTCCTTCTCTCTCTGTGTAACTCTGACTTTCAAATAAATAAATAAATCTTAAAAGAGAGAGAGAGAGAGCACAAGCTTCCAACCACTGGTTCTCTCCCCAAATGGCCACAACAGCCAGGACTGGGCCAGGCCAGAAGCTGCTTCTGGGTCTCCCATGTGGGTGCAGGGGCCCCAGGACTTGGGCCATCTTCAGCTGTTTCACAGATGCATTAGCAGGGAGCTGGATTGGGAGTGGAGCACCTGGGACATGAACTGTACCCATGTGGGATGCCGGTTTAACATGTCACAATGCCAGGCTGCAACATGATCTTTTATATAATGTTCAAAGACACAAAACCTAGCAGTATGTTGTTGGAGTTGCATGTGTGTATACTGAAACTGTAATGTAAAGCAAGGAAATGATAAATATAGAATTCCAGGTTCTCTGTTGGAGAGTAGAATTAGAGTACTGTTGAGATGAAATAACATAGGGAATTCCAAAATACCAGTCACAGTCAGTTTCTAAGCTTTGTGGTAAATGGCTGGATATTCATTTCACTGTTAACCTTGTAACATATTCATACGTGTAAAAGAATATGTAACAGTAATGAAGAATGGAATTTACAGAAAAACAATTTTTTAAAAGATTTATTTATTTATTTGAAAGTCAGAGTTACCAGAGAGAGAAGGAGAGGCAGAAAGAGAGAGATCTTCCATCTGCTGGTTCACTCTCCATTTGGCCACAACGGCCAGAGCTACACCGATTGGAAGCCAGGAGCCAGGAGCTTCTTCTAGGTTTCCCACGTGGGTGCAGGGGCCCAAGGACTTGGGCCATCTTCTTCTGCTTTCCCAGGCCATAGCAGAGAGTTGGATTGAAGTGGAGCAGCTGGGACTCTAACCAGCGCCCATAAGGGATGCCGGCGCTGCAGGCAGCGGCTCTACCCGCTACACCACAGCATTGGCCCCAGAAAAACAATTATTAAAAGACAGAGATGCGATAAAGTAGATATGAGTGGTATAGAGAACTCTTAGAAGGAATTTTGCTGCAAAGTGGAGGAGAATGGGGCAGTGAGTGACTGGGTGGGATGGGAGAGTGGGACGGAAGTAATGATGACGCATGCAGTGACGGACCATCAGTTCTTCATTGCAGGAGAGAGATGAGAAGAAAGTCTGTTGGACAAAATACAACAGAAACCTAGATTCAAATCAGAATGTAATGCAGGAGAGACCTTAGAAATCACCTAATCAGCTGCCCCTCACTACACAGTTATGGAAAGGCCGAAAGAGGTGAAGTAAGCCACCCCCTGCTCCATAGCTGCTGTATGATAGAACTCTGACCCAGCCTAGGTCCCTGATTCCTGATCCAGGGTGGAACCCGTGGAAAAGAGACTTGTGAAGGAGCAGAAGGAGAAGACTGTTTGCATATGGCAGGAAAAGGAGGAGTTTAGTGGAATCTGAGGTTTGATCCTAGTACCTGAAAGGCAGTACCCTGGTCTGTTGTATCAGTTAGCAACCACTTGACTTGGGAGTCCAGCATATCCATTTATGAGATGAGATGATCCTGATGAACTTCTTTGATCATTTGGAGCCTCAGTTTACTGAGCTGTAAAAGAAAAATAATACCTACCTCACTGGATTTATTATTTGTATGTTTACAAAAGTACCTAATATAGTACCTGCTACAATTTTTTACTTTTATAGAATAATAATGTGTGATATGAAATGGGAAAGTTCAGAGGGAATCTGATTTGGTAAGGAATATAATAAATTAGGTTTTAGAGATGTTTTATTTATTTAATTGATTTATAGTTTACCAGGTTCCAACTGGGGCCTGACATGGTGAGTTTTAGACAAATGGAATGTAGGTACTAATGGGACAGCCAAATCACAGTCACTTATGGGCAGTCTGAAAGTATAGAGGGTGAAATACCAGGGCTAGAGAACTGAGGTTGGAAGTTATCAACGTGAGGAGCTCTTCCTCTGTGCCAGTTAGCTCGTTAAGGGAGGGAATGTTGACTAGAAGTCATCTGAGGACCATGCTCTAGGGGAGGACGGTGCCAGAGAAATGCTCAGTCATGAAGGAAAGGAATCAGGAAATTAGGAGCCCACATACTTGTAGGAGAGAAATGAGTAGGCCATCAGCACGAATGCAGTGTGGAGCACACAGGAAGATAAAAATAGAAAAGCAGATTAAATGTGGCTGGTTCTTCCTGGGGGCTTTTGAAATAGCAGTTCTGGTGACATCACCGATGTGTTACCAGGGCCACAAGATTTAAATAGGAATAAGTGTGGGAAGAAAATGTTTTTTGTTGGTCATGGATAGTACAAGGAAGCCTAAAATGAACATTCCCGGATTTATTCTCCGTCTTTAAAAATCTGTAACTTCCATAACCAAAGCTGGTGTTCATAGATACACAAATCTTAGAGGCTGTTTTCTTTCTTTCATTTTCTAGCAGATGTGACACTCAACTGTCTGGTATCAGAAGCATTTGTCAGGTTTTTTGTGGAGCTAGTGGGACATTATTCTTTGAACATGACTGTCACTGAGCAGGGGGAACGTGTATTCCAAAGGGAGCCATTCCGTAAGTCCCACACCTCTCGAAGTGTACGCCACTTCCTGGATCTCTTCATGGAGACTCAGATGTTTGCAGGATTCATCCAGGACCGAGAGCTTCGGAAAACTGGGGTTAAAGGTCAGTTTCCATCATAAAGTACTCCCTTTATTTGGTGAGTTCTTGAAATGATTGAAAATAGTAGAAACAAACAAAAAAAATAGTTTAAAGCTTCAAGGCCTCAAAATCTGAGTTGTTTATTATGGGAACTATTTATTTTGTAATATTGCTTAGCCATAGAAGTAATATATTGGTAATGAGAACAGTTTAATGTAATTGATTTCATCTTGGGTTTTGAATAGTTTCATCAGCAAGTTTTCCTCCTAGGTTTGTTTGAGGTCCGGGCCCATCAGTATTTGGAAACACTGCCTGAGTCTGAGCCCAGTGGAATGAACAAAATTTTGCGAAGTCTTGGTAAGTTGCTGTGTTTTCCTGCTAGAGAAGTGTATCACACAGACTCTGTAAGTAGACCACCAGTAGAACCTCAACTAGGCTGACCAGAAACCACAACCCTCGTACCTAAGTCTCTTTTATAGAGCTTGGGGTTCCCTATCAGAATGGTCTGTGGGGCTGTTTTCCTTAAACGAAGCTCTGTGATTATCCCTTCATGATAGAAGTTTACAAATCATGATTATTCATCTTTTCTAGGTCATGTTCCTTGGAGAGTCTTATAACAGCCATGGTGCTTTTCTCTAGAAAAATGTATTTATGCCATACAAATAAACTTTGCATGTAATTTTAGGGCACTCAGGGACCTCCCCTGAAGCCTATCCACAGAATCCAGATTAACAATGTCTTCTCAGGGCGAGTGCTTAGCAAAGCAGTTGAGACAATGCTTAGGATGCCCTCGTTCCATATCAGGGGCCTGGGTTTGAGTCCCAGCTCCACTCCCAATTCCAGCTTCCTGATAATGTGCATTGTGGAAGGCATCAGGTGGTGGCTCAAGTAGTTGGGTCCCTATCTGGATTGAGTTCCCAGTTCCTGGCTTCTGCCTAGCCCAGCCCCAGCTGTTACAGACATCTGCGGAGAAAGCCAGTGGATAGAGAATTCTGTGTCTCTGCCTTCCTGATCAATGTGTATATTAATTAAATGAATAAAGAAATATTAATTTTTAAAATGTATCTCCTTTAGAGACAGGTATTTGGTCTGGCAGTTAAGACGCCAGTTAAGACTTCCATGTCCTACCTGAGAGTGCCTGGGTTTGGTAACCAGCTCCAGCTCCTCACTCCAGCTTCATGGTAATATAGGCTCTGGGAGGCAGTGATGATGGCTCAGTGATTGGGTTCCTGCCACCCACATGGAAGACCTGGATTGAGTTCCCAGCTTTGGCCCAGCCCAGCCCTGGCCATTGCAGGCATTTGCAGGGGAAATGAATGGGTAGGAGCTTATGTTCTCGTTCGCCATTTCAAAATAAAGAAGAGAATAAAAAATAATTTAATACTATGTGTAGAGAAACTGAGGCAAAAATAAGGATTTTTTGCAAATCTCTATTTTTGTACTTCATAAGGAAACACAATGTTTATAATTTTTCAATTACAATTAATTATCCATTATGATATATGAGAATACTGGTGTGACTAGTTCAGTACAATGAAGAATATATATTCTGTGATATCTATAAATATATTGGTTTCTAAATACATGCCCCTAATTAGGTCCTGTCCTTAACTAAGGGACAATGGACTGATTATGTCCTGGGAAATTATTTCATCTTTATACAATGGAATTACATTAGATCAGTAGTTCTCAATTCTGAGTGCATATTATCAACCTCAAGGCACTTTAAAAATATTTTCATCTGGGATCCAGGACATCTCTAAGGAGCAAACCAGGTGGTTTTTAACCTACAAATGGCGTTGAAAACCACTGGATTAGATAATGTCTGGGTTCTTTTGTACCTCTACCATTAGACATTTGGAGTTTTTGGTGGTTAAACTGTCAACTGAATTTGAGATGGCAGCTTAAATCTTGGGCTTTTCTGAATAACTAGTTTGTTAATTCCTTGCCTGAAATAATATCCAATAAATAAAAATGAATTGAGTTCACATTATCTTTTTCTCCCTTTAGGAAGTAAAATGAAATTTCTGCAGAAGAAATGAAAATTTTGATTGACTGCCTCCATCCTAAATAGAACAAAGAGTGCCAAAGAAGATATTTTTCCAGGGGTCAGGATCCCTTGAAGTATTCTACAAAATCCTTGACATTTAAAAGTATAAAGAACACGTCATGCTCTCAGAGACTGTCCTGATGCTGCTGTAGTAATCACTGGAGCATTGTTGGGAATAGTCTGGAACCAATGTTCTGTTTACTCTGCCACCAGTGTTTTTGTTTTGACTTTTGTTTTCTAATTGATTCTTGGGCTTGTTCTGTGTTTTGTGTTTGGTTTGTGAAGGCAGTTGTCTTTTACAAGGGAAAGGATTCTTGGTATTGCATTTAAAAAACAGCCCAAGAGGAGCAGAGTGAGAGATGCTGAGTTCAAGGTCCTGCAGAAGCCGGACAGAAGTGGAGAACACTAGCCATATGCACTTCTCATCATTGAAATATCATGGCAGCTTTCAACCCAGAGCATGTCTGAGCTGGGCTGGGAAATGTACTCATCAGGTAGCTTCATTTTTAAATCTAATTTCTGGAAAGGGGAATCTGACTTATCTGAAGCCCTCCCTGTTAGCACTGTTACTGTTACCCTATAAAAACAGACATGTTGCAGCTCCTCCACATTATGTATCTTACCCCTCACATGTCAACATTGGACTTTGTGGAATTATAGCTAATAGAGGAGAATGTCCTCTCAAGGACATTGGAACTGTCTTTTTTTACGTGTGTGTACCATGTACCTTGCACTGTGGCACATGTATATATGTCATTTTATTCAGTCCTTAAATCAGCTTTTTAAGATAGATAATTGCATTTCTGTTTTGCTAATGAAGAAACTGGAATTCAAAGAAGTTAGATAACTTTTCCAAAGTTGTACAACAAATACAGAATTGAAGCCAGGAATTTTATTTTGTAACTACAGAGAAAGTTGGTTAGATGCAAATTTCAACTCTATGGGACCACAGTTATTTAAAAAGTTTTCCATTAAGTCTGTTGGATCCACCTGTCAGCTTTGAGGATAAGGGATTTTATTTAAATTACAGGTGCCTAGATGAAACTTTCTTGATTCATCTAGAATTGTTGTAAAGTTTGCTGTAATTAAATTGGACTCAGAATATGAACATTTCTTGAACATACCCCACTTAATCATGCAGGTCCTTACCATCTAAAGTAGTAGTGGTGATTGGAAAACAGGGTTGTCAGTGATGGTGCAGTTTTCATTGATAAATACTACTGCAAGCATCAGTTTGTTTTCTTCAACTTCTGCTGATGGTTTTAACTGGAATAGAAAATATTTATTCAAACTTTCAAAACTTGTAAGTTGTAATGTGATACAGTTTATGGACTTGCACTGTGTAGTCATTACAACCCATTCAGGTGTGCAGAAATGAATCTGAATCAGATACCATTTAAGAAGAGTGCTATGTAATGTAATTCCTACAGATGTGGATCCAGGGAATAGAACTGAGCCTGTGTCTTCCTAAAAAATACTGATTAAGCAGCTCTCCCCCATGGGACTCCTACTGGATATCTCACCAGTTGGTCTTTTCTTTTTTTCTTTTTTTTTTTTTATTTATTTTTTTGATAGGCAGAGTGGACAGTGAGAGAGAGAGACAGAGAGAAAGGTCTTCCCTTGCCGTTGGTTCACCCTCCAATGGCCGCCGCTGCAGCCGGCGCACCGCGCTGATCCGATGGCAGGAGCCAGGATCCAGGTGCTTTTTCCTGGTCTCCCATGGGGTGCAGGGCCCAAGCACCTGGGCCATCCTCCACTGCACTCCCTGGCCATAGCAGAGAGCTGGCCTGGAAGAGGGGCAACCGGGACAGAATCCGGTGCCCCGACCGGGACTAGAACCCGGTGTGCCGGCGCCGCAAGGTGGAGGATTAGCCTATTGAGCCACGGCGCCGGCTTGGTCTTTTCTTATATACCAACTGTGAGGGAACAATAACTGGTTGTTTATAAAATGGACTATGGGGCTGTCATTGTGACATAGCAAGTTAAGCCACTGCTTGCAAAGCTGGCATACCATGTTGGAGCGCTGGTTGGAGTCCTGGTTGCTCCACTTCTGATCCAGCTTCCTGTTAATGTGTCTGGGAAAGCAGCAGATGACCTAAGTACTTGGACCCTCTATTCATGTGAGAGACCAGGATGGAGTTCCTGGCTTCTGGCTTCAGCCTGGCCCAGATCTGGCAGTTGTGGACATTTGGGGCATGAACCAGTGGATAGAAGATCCATTTCCCCCATGCCCAGGTATCTCTTGCTCACTCTCTCTGTCTCTCTCACTTGGCCTTTCAAATAAATAAATATTTATATAATGGGTTTAAGGGGGTTTACTGTGGTGGATCCTGGTTATCCCTCCGTGAGGTGAGCTTGGTTTCAAGAATGGGTTATCCCTGCAATCTAAGGTCACTTCCTATCCTTAATGTCTGTTGTATTTTGTTTTTGTAAAGTGTTGTGAAATCTGAACATATTTGTAAAAAAAATTGCTCAAGATTTGTATAAAATGTTGTTTACAGATCTTTTAACGAATAAAAAAATGAAAAAAAAATCCCACAGATTTCTTGGAGAATTTTAAATAAAATTGCTTAAGATCTTCAACCTATGGCTAGCACATTTGCCTAATGTTTAAATTAAAAAGATAATCTGAATTGGTCATAGACAAACCAGCTTAACCGTGGCCAATATTTGACACGGGTGTTGGCAGACAAGGCCCGAGTCTAGATTGCACACAGGTAGGGTATTCAGTCCTAGTCTATCTTATTTGGTTTTGCCTGCTCAGCCTAGGAGCCACGTAGCAGAGCGGGTGTACCTGCTGCAGCCTGGGTGGGTTGGGGGGAGGGGGCGGGGACGAGGAGCACTGTTCTATCCAGTAAGTCCTAAAGGCAAAAAATGATTGTGGATTTTGTATACACCCTATACAAACATGAAAAGTTTTTTTTTAAGGGTGGGCGTGGTATACTATTTCAAATCTCGTCCTGGGGGCAGTTTAAGGCTTAATTACACAGACCCTAAAGCTTCCCAATTTTAATTGGAGACTGTGCCCACTTCTAATGGGCTGTGAACGAACTGCACTTATCCAACGCAAAGATTTTTTCAGGCGCCGAGACCTAAGCATAACGGTTGTAGAGCAAGGACGTACAAGGCCTGGCACAAAGACAAGCTTAACGGGAGAAGGTGAAAGGTTAGAACACCAAGTGGACGTGGGAAACCAGTTTCTCCCTACCAAATCTGAAGCTTTTTCCCGCCAAACGTTTTAAAGGGCTCCCCTTCCCCGGGGTATCAGCATCCTGGAGGAAACGAAAAGTATCAACTCAACCGAAGTTCTGTCACTCCCAGGCAAAATACAGGAAACCGAGAACAGGAAGTCGGGGGTCTTCGCAGATTTTGGGAATCCGGGCTTGACGTCACTTCCGCCCAAACTAAGCCGCCGCCGCGGCCGGGCGTGCGGGCCTTCAGAATTAGTAACTGAGCATGCGCCAGAGTAGATACGTAAACGTTGAGGGTTACGTCAGTGACGAGCGCAGGCGGATACTCAGGAAACGTAGGCGAACCCGAGTGCCCCAGCATGGCGGGCACTGGCTTGGTGGCCGGAGAGGTTGTGGTGGACGCGCTGCCGTATTTCGATCAAGGTTATGAAGCGCCTGGTGTGCGGGAAGCGGTAAGTGCCCGGTGCCGGCGTGGCTGCCCCGCGCCCCGGGCCCAGTGCCGGAGGGAGCGCGCTGCAATGGCCCGTGTTCTCGTTGCTAGGCTGCAGCCCTGGTGGAGGAGGAAACTCGCCGGTACCGACCCACTAAAAACTACCTGAGCTACCTGACAGCCCCGGATTATTCTGCTTTTGAAGTAAGTGCGATGCCTTGAACGCAGCGTACGGACAGGAATTCCTGTGGCCCTTTGTTTTGAATTGAGAGCGTTAGCTACGTAAGTGAATGTTAAATCCTAGCGTTAACTGCTGTCGGAGAGGCATCAGTCTACTGCAAACAGCCGGGTAGATGATAGATCAGTCGTCTCCGGGGTTCTTTAGATACCCATGGGGCCTCGCGAGCTCTCACTTAATGTAAAAATTAGTACTTCTTTGTTTTTTTAAAGATAGTGTCCGTGCGTAAATTCTCAAATATTTTACTCCCTAAGGTCCACTATGCCGCAAGTGATCCAGGGTTTTATTTATTTATATAAAATAGCCTGTGCCCTTTGGGGCCACTGGAGGGCGGCTTTTATATGGAAACCTAGCTATCTACAGAATGTGCCAACGACTGAAGTGGACAAACCGTGTTTAAATATATACCGTTTGCTTTAGTTATTTTAAGCTCTTTTTAAATAAAATGTTCGAGAGAGAGAGCCCCCAGCAGCTGGTTCAATGCCCAGATGCCTACGGGAACGCTGGGTGTCTGATGTGGGTGGCAGGAACCCAGTTACCCGAGGGACATCACTGCTGCTTGCCAGGGTCTGCACTGGCAGGAAGCTGAATCAGGAGCTGAAGCTAGAAACCTAACCCAGGTACTCAGTGCCTTACCTTCTATGTCAAATGCCGGCTGTTTAAGTAGATCCGACTTTAAATATTTAACCTACAAGTACACCCAAGAGAATCCTTAAGGTCCAATCGGCAAAGTGAGAAGTAAAACATCTTCTCTATTTTTTTATTTATGCAATTTTTATTTACTTGAGATGCAGAGAAAGAAATCTCTTAACCTGCTGTCCAGCTCCCCAAACAGCAGCAACAGCCAGGGCTGGGCCAGATCAAGCTGGAATTCAGCTCACGTCTCCCATGTAGGTGGCAAGGACCCAATACTTGAGCCATCGTCTGCTGCCTCCCAGGGTGTCAGTAGGACAGAATCCAAAGTGGAGCCAAAACTCCAACCAGGCACTCCTAACATGGGATGCAAGCATCCTAAGCAGTGTCTTAACCTCCAGGCCAAACACCTATTTTATATTTTAATATTAATATTTCTAGACTAGTGGGTTCTGTCAAGCATGTCAATACATGCATGCTTGGTTTTTTAATTTTTTTAATTATACACAGCCATTTAGATAAGAAAGGATTATATTATTGAGAGGCAGTAAATTCCTGTGTTAACAGATGGAACATATTCTGAGAAATGCGTCCTTGGGCGTTTGTCATTGTATGAACCTTAGAGTGTGCTTACATCTAACTGGTCATTTGATGAAATCAAGACATAGGAATTGAGTGGGTGAGATGTGGGGCTGCAGCAGGTGTAGCAGCATGCTGTTTTAAAATAATTTTTCCCCTTTGTAAGTAGGAACGTACTCTAAAACAACAGTATAGTATAGTAAGTATGTGAACCAGTAACACCGTAGTTTATCTAGCATTATGTAGTGAACATGGTTGTATTTGCTACACATGTACTTTTATGCTGCTGTCAGCACAGTGGGTTTGTGGCAATATTACTACACACACACACACACACATACACATAGCGTGCTACAGTGAAATGTTAAGAACCCTCTGTTGTCATAAGGCCGTAGGAGTTTTTCGGCTCCATTGAAGTCTTACTCATACAGCATCATGTGTGCCAGCCATGGTTGCAGTACATTTTATACTGCACATATTTGTTTATTTTTTATGTATTTATTTGGAAAGTGATGTGACAGGGAGGGAGGGACAGAAGATAGAGATCATCTATCCACGGGTTCACTCCCCAGATGACTGCAACAGCCAGGCCTGGGCCAGGCTGAAGCTAAGAACCCAGAATTCCATCCAGTCTCCCCATGTGGGTGGCTAGGGCCCAAATATTTGGACCATCTTCTGCTTTCCCAGGTGCATTAGCAGGGAGCTGGATCAGAAGCTGAGCAGCCAGGACTCCAGCCAATGCTCTGTTGTGGGATGCCCCTCTAATTGACTGCACCACAACGCTGGCCCCAAGTTACATTTTAAGTAAGACAGAGATGTCCCTGTGAAATGCAGTTTTCCCATGTTTTTTCTCAGTGTTGTTTCCTAAATTATCCCATTAAGAACTAAGCATAATACTGCTTCCTTGTTGGACTGCTTTCTGAAGGTTTCAGGTGATGCCTTTCAATCACAGACTTAAATACTTTAATCAGCACCCCCCCCTGCCTAATACAGTATGCTTCCTACCTTTATTAGTACACAGATTATTATTTAATTGAAAGGCAGAGTTATAGAGAGGAGAGACAGAAGAGAGAAATCTTCCATCCGCTGGTTCACTCCCCAAATGGCCGCAGCAGTCCGCTGGGACTGTGCCAGGTCTCCCACGTGGTTGCAGGGGACTAGGTACTTGGGCCGTCTTCCACTTTGCCAGGTGCATTAGCCAGGAGCTGGATTAGAAGTAGAGCAGCTGGAACTCAAACCAGCGCCCATATGGATGCTGGTGGCACAAGCTGTGGCTTAACCTGCCACACCACAACACCTGCCTCAGTTATTTCTTACTAATAGCTGCTAATAGTGTACTGAGCTTACCATCTCAGTCCACAGAACAGCCCTGTTAGCTATATATAACTGTATGTACGTTATCCCCATAGATGGGAAAATTGCAGTTAAGAAACGCCACTAGTTGACCAAGACCTTAACCATTCTTCAGACTGCCTTTGAAATCACTCTTCCATCAATTGATTTAACAACTGTTTATGAAGGTCTGTTCTAGGCCAAGTATTTGGGAGCAAGGCCAGTTCTCTCATGCAGCTTACATTCTAGATACTGAGACAGTAATTCAGAAAATATCAGATTGTTGATAAATATAGAGAAAATTAGAGACATGATATCTTCATTTGCCTATGACAGTACACAATAGGCACTCAGATATTCATAACTGACTATATAAAGAACTTCCAGAGCAGTTGAATTTAATGAATGCTCATTGCATGGCCAGCAGGCCTGCGGTTCTTCTGATGACTTAGATCCATGAATGCTGGCTCAGTCTGTGGAGAGCATTGAGTTAAAATTCCAGATCTGTTGAGTTAGGCAAGGGTTTCTATGCTGCATGGGTCAGGGTTACTTGTAAAGTGTTTTTGTAGTTTCTCTCTTTTTTTTAAGATTTACTTATTTTGGGGGCTGGCGCTGTGGTGTAGTGGCTAAAGCTGCTGCCTGCAATGCTGACATCCAATATGGGCACTGATTCAAATCCCAGCTGCTCCACTTCTGATCCAGCTCTCTGCTATGGCCTGGGAAAGCAGTAGAGGATGGCCCAAGTCCTTGGGCCCCTGCACCTGTGTGAGAGACCTGGAAGATGCTCCTAGCTCCTGGCTTCAGATAGGCGCAGCTCCAGCCGTTGCGGCCAGTTGGGGAGTGAACCAGTGTATGGAAGACCTCTCTCTTATCTCTGATTGTCCTTTCTTTGTGTAACTCTGACTTTCAAATAAATAAATAAGATGTATTTATTTTGAAAGAGTTACAGAGAAGGAGAGCCAGTGAGCTTTCATCTGCTGGTTCACTACCCAAATGGCCACAGAAGCCAGGAGCTTCATCTGGGTCTTCCATGTGTGTGTCAGGGGACCAAACACTTCCACTGATTTTCCAGGCCATTAGCAGGTAACTGGATCGGAAGTGGAGCATCTGAGATTCAAACAGGCACCTATATGAGATGCCAGCATCGCAGGCAGTGGCTTAACCTGCTATGCCACAACACCAGCCCCTGTAGTTTCCTTCCTTGTTTGTTACTGTGCATAATTTTATAGCTAGAAAGCCCTGGTTTTCTGCAGAAAGCTAGATAACTAAATTTTCTTAGTTGTGTATAATTTAACAGTCACCCCTACTCCACAAAAAACACTTTTCTCCTACAAAAAATGCCAATGTAAAACTTTAAACAGGTACATGAGCTTCTGGAAAGCTTTTTTGCTTTAGTCTTTAAATGTTAGGATGGTTGAAGCCCTCAGAAAATTGGAATTACCTGGGGTAACCAGAATATTACTGTGATTAATATTTTACATAAGCAGTTTTGTATTCAGAATAAGAAATGTGCAGAACAGAAATTAGGATAATGACCAAGCATTAGGCCTTATGATGCATTAGCTGTGCTGCTTTTTTTTTTTTTTGAACATTTAAATTGCTAGAGCAGGTAGCAGAAGCGGGTACCTTCGCTCCTTCTCCCCTCTCCTCCATTGCTTGAAATGAACAAAGTGTGAAAGCAGCCAGACCAAAAAGAAAGTGAAGGTTTAGGCGTATAGCCCTAAATCAAATAATTTTGTCTAAGTTCCATCTTTCCCTATCGTCAGTGAATGCTGAGACCCATAGTTCTCAACCCTTGCTTCAATGACAGTCAACTGATGATTTAAAAATCATTGGGGGTGGGGCTGGCATTGTGGCATACCAAATTAAGCTGCCACCTGCAACACTAGCATTCCATATGGACACCGGTTTGAGTCTTGGCTGCTCCACTTCCGATGCACCTGGGATAGCAGAGGACAGCCTGAGTACTTGAGCTCCTGCACCCATGTAGGAGACCCAGTTGGAGTTTGAGGCTCCTGACCTCAACTTGGCCCAGCCATGGTTGTTGGCGATCATTTGGGGAGTGAACCAACTGATGGAAGATCTCTCTCTCAACACCCCCTTGCATCTCCCCCCACACACACCGTTTCTCCCTCTCTGTAATTCTGCCTTTGAAATCAATAAATAAATCTTTAAAAAAAAAAAAATTATTGGGAGCAGGCATTTGGTCTAGCAGTTCTGCTTAGGATGCCCACATCCCATAATTAAGAGTGCCTGGGTTCCAGTCCTGGCTGTGCTCATGACTTCAGCTTCCTGCTAATGAACACCCTGGGAGACAGTAGGTGCTGGCTTAAGTACTTAAGGCCCTACCATGCCCTCAGGAGACCCATGGACTCCTGACTCAGCCTGACACAGCTGTTACAGGCTTTTAGGGAGTGAACCAGTAGATAGAAGAGCCTTGTCTGTCTGACTTGTCTTTCAAATAAATGAAATAATTTTTTAAAATATTGTGCCCAGCCTCTACCTCCAGCCAGTTAAGTGGGAGTAGGGAAGAAGAGTGAGACTGACTTGAATTACGGTTGCTGTTGAAGCTCCCAGCTGATTGTGATGTGCTGCTGGGATTGAGAACCACCAAGTTAGGGACTCCTGCTCTGGGGCCTCTTTAAATGTGCTGCCACCCATCCTGAGAGCATGTACTTGAGGGAAGAGTTGAGGAGGGGGACATGATCCATTGCAGTGGGCGTTGTAAAGTAGAAACACTGAATAGGCTGAACTCCATTGTTTGATGATTGCAGTTTGTCAGTATGATCTTAGAAATAATTCTCTTGATTTCTCCACTAGACTGACATAATGAGAAATGAATTTGAAAGACTGGCTGCTCGACAACCAATTGAACTGCTCAGTATGAAACGGTGAGAGTATTGAAATTAAAATTCCCCTTGTAATACCCTGTTTATAGTGAGCTGCTGGCGGTGCTGGTGGTGTTGGAGGACTGGATAGTTTGAAACGAGAGACCGGAGAAGGGTCCACGTGCAAAGAATTATTCTATCCGTTATAGGTGTTTTTACAAAAATAGGAGTGAAGTATTCTTCGGTAATATAACTTAATAGCTAATATAACAATCCCTTATATGAATATCATGTAGCTTATTTAGTCCACAGTGAAGTAAAACAACTTTCTGTTTCTTTATATAATGGTGCTAAGTCTTATTCATAAGTTGATTGTTTCCAAGGATAAATCCATTTCTTCTTACTACAAGGTCTACATCTTCAGTCTCATAGTTTTCACAGAGTGCCTACACCTGTGGCACTTTCTGTTGGGAGGAGGGATAAAGGTTCAGCAGGATTTGTGGCTTTGTTTTATTTCGTTATTTAATTTCAGATACGAGCTTCCAGCCCCATCTTCAGGTCAGAAAAATGACATTACCGCGTGGCAAGAATGTGTCAACAATTCTATGGCCCAGCTAGAGCACCAGGCTGTTCGAATTGAGAATCTGGAACTGATGTCACAGCATGGATGTAATGCCTGGAAAGTATATAATGAGTGAGAACCTTGCTTTTTCATTTTTCCTAGGGAAGCTCCTATCTGCTGAATGCATTCTCCAAATGGCCACAACATCTGGGGCTGGGCGAGGCTAAAGCCAGGAGCCAGGAACCCAATCCAGGTCTCCCACATGGATGGCTGAGACCAAAGTACAAGCCACTACCTGCTGCCCCCTAGAGTATGAATTAGTGAGAAGCTAGAATTAGGAGTGGAGCCAGGACTCAAACCCACAGGCTCTCATAAAGGATACAGATGTTCCAAATGGTGTGTTAACCACTATGCTACACACCTGCCCCTTTAAAAAAAAATGCATCAGAGCCAAAATTTTAGTATTTTTAAGAAGGGACGGAAGTTAGGAAGAGAAGCGGTATAAAAGTAATACAGCTAGACCTTGACTTGGCTCCTGTGCTGGAACTACAACCAGAACAGTAATCCATATTAAAGGCCACTGCTTTGAGACCCACCTCAAAGTTGAAGAATACTGAGGTGACCTGGACTTAACTATTGCACTGACGATACGGTAGTATAAGAAAACGAGCTGTAGGGTGTGATTCACAGAAGGTAATCTTTAATGTAGGGGTGCTTACGTAGTTCATTCTCATTGCTCGTGTGTTATGTTCTCTGAAGGCCCTGTGCACACTGAATTAGCTCACGATGTACCATTTCTTCTAGTGGAAATAAACACATATCTGACTTACATTATAATCTGACTCCTAAAATCCACTCATCTTGGCTGATTTTGATTTCTTTATATTAGGGGAAAAAAGTTCAGATGTGGAAAGTGACAAAATCCATCATTTGGGAAACTGTGGAGCAGGTGACTCAGTTTCCTTTATGAATACAAGTCTATTGCAATGCAACAGAAGGAGATGTGGGATCAGGAAGATGAAGAGATGGAAGATAGAGATCAATCAAAAAGCTGTGTTTCACAAAGTGGGAAAATGCGATTGTTGTCCTAAAGAAGCTTTATCTAGACTAGAAGTACTACACCAAGTAACCAGTAGTCCATTTTGGCAATACATGGGCAGGGTCTATTTTGTGTGCTGTGCTCTATAAACAACAGCAGCTCAGAGAAGGGATGTGAACCTGGCCTAAGGCTGGTGTTGTGGGCAGCAGATTGGAATGCTGGTGTCCCGTATCAGAGTGCCAGCTCCAGTCACAGCTGCTGTGCTGCTACCCAGCTTGGTGCTCATGTGCCTGGAAAGGCATAAGAAGTTGGCCCAAGTAGCAGGGTCCCTGCCACCCATGTGGGAGACCAGGATGGAGTTCCTGGCTTCTGCCTAATCCAGACCTGACTGTTGCAGTCATTTGGGGAGTGAACCAGTGGATGGAAGATGACTGTGTGTGTCTTTCCAGCTGTCTCTGTCACTTTGCCTTTCAAATAAATAAGTAAAACTTGAAAAAAAATGGAGAAACAGAAAATTTTGATATACTTATTAAATATAAATTTTGATGGCTTAAGAAAAATCAAACTGGTAGGCTCTAGAGTTTAAAAGACCTGAAGGGGCCAGCACTGTGGCTTAGTGGGTAAAGCCGCCACCTGCAGTGCTGGCATCCCATATGGGCACTGGTTCAAGTCCTGGCTGCTCCACTTCCAATCCAGCTCTCTGCTATGGCCTGGGAAAGCAGTAGAAGATGGCCCAAGTCTTTGTACCTGGACCCTGTACCTGCATGGGAGACCCAGAAGAAGCTCCTGGCTCCTGCCTTTGGGTTGGCTCAACTCTGGCTGTTGCAACCATCTGGGCAGTCAACCTATGGATGGAGGACCTCTCTCTCTCTCTCTGCCTTTCTATAACTGCCTTTCAAGTAAATAAATAAATCTTTAAAAAAAAAGAAAAAAAAGCCTGAAATAGAACCAACTCTGACACGTGTGTCACCTTAACCAAGTTATGTAATCTTTTAAAGCCTGTATCCTTACATGGGAAATTGGGATAATCGTGCCTCAGAGAATTTCTGTGAAAATTAAATTAGCTAATTTTAATAGAGTGTCTAACATAATGCCTGCCCCAGAGAACTTAATAAATACTTAGTGTTTTAACAGAAAAGCTTGACTTTCCATGAACTCAGTAGCTCACTTTTATTTTATTTGAAAGGCAGAGTTAGAGGGAGACACAGAAAGGGATCTTCCATGCACTGGTTCACTCCCTAAATGACTGCAGGGGCCGGGCTGGGCCAGGCGGAATCAGGAGCTGGAACTCCATTGCAGGTGCTTTCACCTGTGCCACAGTGCCGGCCTCAGTAGTTCACTTTTTAGTGGCACTATAAGTTTTAACATGCCTTAGACTGACTTCCCTTTTCTTTCTTTAGAAATCTAGTTCACATGATTGAACATGCACAGAAAGAGCTTCAGAAGTTAAGGTAAGTTGGTGTTTGTATTGCTTTAGAGTGACATTTAGGTGAAGCCTTAATAAAGAATGGGAGGAAAAAGCAACTATGGAGACTGCAGTCGCGTGAAAGCAGACAGCTGGTCCAGTCTGTTCAGCGGCTCGCCCTGGGTTAGCCCTGCCTGAGTGAGGGAGAGTTAGGTTTGAGGTCTGAAATCTTCTCTGCCAGGCCATTTGCAGCTTGCAAGTCTGAGACGTACAAGACACCCTGGAGGAGGAAAAAGTTGCAGAAAACCATGTGTATCTTGGTTTACATTGAAAATGAATGTGTACATGCACGAGTACATACAGGAAAGAGGGGGGACACCCACTCTGTACTGCTATGAACACAGTACCACGACTGGGTAAGTTTCAGAGAAAAGAGGTTTATTTTGATTCACAATTCTAAAGGCCCACGACTAAGGGGCTGTCTGGTTCTGGCCTTGTTGCTAGGAGAGTCATCAGGTGGTACATACAAGTGCGTCTGAGCGTGTTCTGGGCTGTGTAAAACCACCGGTACTCAGCTGTGTAATCCTAATCACATCCAGAGGCCCCAGCTGTAAACACAGTTGGGTGAAGTTTCCAGCCTCTTAGTACCTCACAATGGGGATTAAACTCAACAGCATTACCAAGGAGAAAGGACTTCTGATAGATTCTCTTGTAATAGAATTTTTCCTATTGATTTTAGTCTTATGTTAAAATGTAGTTGAGTTGTGCATATAATTTTTTATAGGAAACACATTCAAGATTTAAACTGGCAGCGAAAGAACATGCAACTCACAGCTGGATCTAAACTAAGAGAAATGGAGTCGAAGTAAGTGTCTGTAATTCCATTATCTTTTAGATTAGTGCATTCCAAGATCAAGATTCAGTGAGTCAAACGAGATGACCTGGGTGTCAAAAATAGACTTTTTTTGAGTCCACCCTTCACTGCCTGCCTCCTCCTGGGAGGTAGACTTAGAAAGCAATGAGAGTTACAAGAATCCAATCACTAAGTACTCCTGGTCTTAAAGCACTGTGCTTTTAGCTCAGTATTTCTGGCTCTGAATTGAATTCCACCTATATTCTCCTTTTAAGAGGAAAAATATTAATGTTTAAAATCTTACAGGAAGGGAAACTCCATACTTGATCATTTGTGCCTTAGATTTTTTTCCCTTTTGTTTTTACATTTGTACAAACCTCTAAATATAGTCATGAATTTGTTGTCATTTTTCCTTTTCCTTTGCTACTTCCCTGCCCTTCCTCCCTTTATCTCCTTTTTTGCACTTCGCTCCATGTCCATGTACCCATGCTATCTGTCTCTTAGACTGTCTCTTTTTATTGTCCTAAAGATTTTTTCAGTGAAAAGGGAGACTTCTTGGTTCTGGGTTAGAGTTTTCAATTGGAGAATGTTCCCCACCATCTTTCTGGAACTATTGCCTTTGCCTTGATTTTTTTATTTCTCTTATATCTTATCCAATCTCTTTTTATTCTTCTGTTTCTAATTTTTTGCCTCTTTTTGAGTTGAACATTTTGTTTTGAGGTTATTGTAGATTTACATGCAGTTGTAAGAAGTAATGAAGGGGCCAGCATTATGGTACAGCAAGTTAACCTGCCACTTGCAATGCCAACATCCCCTGTTGGAGTGCCAGTTCTAGTCCTGGCTACTCTACTTCCCAACCAGCTCCCTGCTAATGTGCCTGCAAAAGCGGTGGAAGATGGCCCAAGTGCTTAGTCTCTGCCACCCATGTGGAGACCAGGATGGAATTCTTGGCTCCTGGCTCAGACCTGGCTGTTGTGGCCATTTGGGGAGTAAACCCTTTCAAATAAATAAATCTACTTTCTCATGATCGTGCCTGTTTTTTAAAGTGGAAGTTTAAAAGTGTTATGACCCTGGGTGAAACTGTATATATGTTTTATTTCATTTTTTTATAAATGGGGACAATGCTGTGGCACAGCAGGTTTAAGCTGCTGCCTGCAATGCCAGCATCCCATGTGGATGCCAGTTTAAGTCCTGGATGTTCCACTTCCAATCCAGCTTCCTGCTACTGTTTGTCAGGGAAGGCGATGGAAGATGGAGTTCCTGGCTCCTGGCCCAGCCCTGACCATTGCAGTTTGGGGGAGTGAACCAGTGGATGGAAGATTCTCTCTCTGTCTCTCTTCCTCTCTTCCCACTTTTCCCTACCTCCCTCAAACCCTGCCTCCCCCCATTGCTCTTCTTTCAAATAAATAAATCTGCTGGTTCACTCCCCAAATGGCTGCAGCAGCCAGGGCTGGGCCAGGCCAAAGCCAGGAACAAGAAACTCCATCTGGGTCTCCCATGTGGGTGGCAGGGACCCAAGTACTTGTGCCATCTTCTGCTGCTTTCCCAGACCCATTAGTAGGAAGCTAGATCCAGAAGTAAAGCAGCCAGGACTTGAACCTATGCTCTGATACAGGATGCTGACATTGCAAGCAGTCACTTAATCCACTGCACCACAAAGCCAGCCCCTGTTACACGTTTTAAAATGAGATCTTCGGGGCAGGTGTTTGGCCAAGCAGTTCAGTTGCCCGTGTCCCATATCGGTGTGCTGGAGTTCAGTGCTCAGCTTTGATTCCTGACTCCAGCTTCCTGCTAATGCAGTCCCTGGGAAGCAGAAGGGAAGCAGCAGTGATGGCGCAAGTGATTAGATTCCTGCCGCCCACTAGCAGACCTGGGCTTAGCTCCAAACTCCTGGCAAATAGGCAGTGTGCCCATTGCAAGGGTCTGGGGCCTAACCAGTGGGTGGGGGCGCTCAGTGTTTCTGTCTCTCCTCTCCTGTCCTGTCCTGTCCTGTCCTCTGTCTCCTCTCCTGTCTTCTCTCCTCCTCCCCTGCCTTCTCCTCCCCTCTCTTCCGTCTCTGCCTTTCAAATAAAAAAATTAATAAAAATAAAAGTTTCTGAGAGAAATTTTACATTGAGTGATTTTTCCCTTTTTCCCCTCTTTCTCCTTTTTAAGTTGGGTATCCCTGGTCAGTAAGAATTACGAGATTGAACGGACAATTGTGCAACTAGAAAATGAAATCTATCAAATTAAGCAGCAACATGGAGAGGCAAACAAAGAAAACATCCGGCAAGACTTCTGAAAAGACTAATTTGGTGGGGAGAAAGGAAGAAAAGTTGGGGTTTCGTAAACTGTCAGGCATCTGAACTTTGTCTGAACTATGAAGGACAACAGCTTGTCACAGAAACTGTTGATGGTTGTGAAATTTTCAGAAAACTTAAAATGTGTGAAGTGTTTTGTCCTGTTTGTATTTCTTAGCAAAATAAAGATTTTCAACGTGATTGTATTTGATTGCTATTAAAAAATTTTTAGACTTAAAATGAAGTATGACTATATAATATTTCATAGAATTAATTTTGAACTACTTACACCACATTTTGTAGCCAAAGACTGTTATATAAAGCTTCTAACATATATAAAAAGTTAGAAACTTTTGATTTATGCCTTTGTCTAATAAAAAGGTAGTTCTAAATGCATTTTTAATCACCAAACAAGACTTCATAAATACAGTAACTGTACAGATATCATTATAGGTGGCAGTTATATCAAGCTTATTATGTTTGATAAACTAGATTTACATGAATAAAGATCATTTGATACAGACATCAGAGGGTAGGTAGTATTCCCATGTACAAACGTAACAAAAACCAGTTTAGTAATTTGCCAAAGTATTAGAGCTAGAAAGTGTCAGCCAGGTTTTGAATCCAGTAGTCCAGCTCTAGAGTTTGTTCTTTCTCCTATATTTATTTTTTTTTTTAAAGATTTATTTATTTGAAAGAGTTACACAGAGAGAGGAGAGGCAGAGAGTGAAGTCTTTCATCCGATGGTTCACTCCCCAGATGGCTGCAACCGCCAGAGCTGCGCCAATCCGAAGCGGAGATTCTTTCGGGTCTCCCACGCGGGTGCAAGGGCCCAAGGACTTGGGCCATCTTCTACTGCTTTCCCAGTCATAGCAGAGAGCTGGATCTGAAGAGGAGCAGCCGGGACTTGAACCGGCGCCTATATGGGATGCTGGCGCTTCAGGCCAAGGCATTAACCCACTGTGCCACACGCCGGCCCCCTTACTCCTATATTTATAAGGAATTAAAGAACAGAAAAGATTATTTTCCAATTCAGGAAAAATACTAGCAGTATGTTAAAGGATGGTCGTATGTTACAAATCACTGAGATGAATAGACCACCAGAAAAATGTAAATGATTAGCACTGATAATACAAAATAAACCTAGAATTGTTTTGGCTTATGATGATAATGCTTTTGAAGGGTATTTTTAAGAAAAGTTACCTAGGCCGGCGCCGCGGCTCAATAGGCTAATCCTCCACCTAGCGGCACCGGCACACCGGGTTCTAGTCCCGGTTGGGGCGCCGGATTCTGTCCCGGTTGCCCCTCTTCCAGGCCAGCCCTCTGCTGTGGCCAGGGAGTGCAGTGAAGGATGGCCCAAGTGCTTGGGCCCTGCACCCCATGGGAGACCAGGAAAAGCACCTGGCTCCTGGCTCCTGCCATCGGATCAGCGCGGTGCGCCGGCCGCAGCGCACCGGCCGCGGCGGCCATTGGAGGGTGAACCAACAGCAAAAGGAAGACCTTTCTCACTGTCCACTCTGCCTGTCAAAAAAAAAAAAAAGTTACCTAACAGTTTATATAATTGGACCCCAATTCTGAGTCTTTTAATGTTTATTTGAAAGGCTGAGAGCGAGCTTCCATCTGATGGTTCACTCAGTGTTCACAAAATCCAGGGCTGAGCTAGACCGAAGCCAGGAGCGTGGAACTCAGTCGGGGTCTCCCGCATGGGTGGAAGGGACCCAGTACGTGAGCCATCATCTGCTGCCTCCCAGGGAGCCTCCTAGGGAGCTGGATGAGAAGTGGGGGAGCAAGTAAAGTGCAACTCATGGCCCACAGCTGTTTTGCTCATCTTTTGTACAGTTTATATGATTTATTGAATATTTTTGTTTTATTGCCTTTTTTTTTCTAGATTTATTTATTTATTTGAAAGGCAGAGTTACAGAGAGGCAGAGGTGCAGAGAGAGATCTTCCAACCCCTGGTTCACTCCCAAAATGGCCACAATGGCCGGAGCTGTCCCAATCCAAAGCCAGGAGCTTCTTCCAGGTCTCCCATGCAGGTGCAGGGGCCCAAGGACTTGGGCCATCTTCTGCTTTCCCAGGCCACAGCAGAGAGCTGGATCGGAAGTGGAACAGCCAGGTCTCAAACCGGCACCCATTTGGGATGCTGGCACTGCAGGCGGCAGCTTAACCCTATGCCACAGTGCCGTTCCCTGTATTGCCCTTTATACATGATGGGGTAGGCATTTAGTGCCGTGGTTAAGATGCTGCTTGGGTTTCCCACATCCCCATTTAGGAGTGCCTGGGTTTAAGTCCCGGCTCCATTCCATTTCAGCTTCTTGCTAATGCACACCTGGGAGGCAACAGGTGGTTGAGTCCCTGCCACCTATTGAATTCCAGGTTGCTGGAACAGTGCCCATCCTACTAAGAGTGACCTTGGAAAGCTTGCATATTCCTGTAGCCAAGGTGAGCTTGCCAGATTGAGGCTGTATCTCTCTATTGGAAGCAGCTCTATTAAATGACAAATCACTATTTAAATAGAGCTGGTTGTGTGTTTCTTTAGCATGTAAATTTTTGCGCCATTGTTTGAGATTCCTCTCTTATTCATAATAATTACATGGAGTTTGAAGATCGACCCAACAAAGCTAAACGCAGCCCACCTGACACTGGGCTACCACACCAAGTTAACCAGCCTACCCCGGACCTTTAATATGTGATCCAAAAGATTGACGATTCTGTTAGGTCGCTGGGTTGGATTTTCTCTCCTTTCAACATAAACCATTCTGGCATAAGATCTTTAAGGTAAAACAGCCAGGAGTTTCTGCAGGTTTATAGAGATCCAGGTTGACATAACTATCTCTGTGGTAACTGTCATCTTTCCCTTTAGGTGACCCCAACAGTCATCCCAAACCTTATGGGATAAACAAAGTTGGTTGGTAAGGTAACCTGCCCCTGTTACCAGATACCTGGACTGTTAACTGTTTCTTGAGAAAGTCCACGTTTAGTTCTGCCAGCTGCAGACCACCTTTGTCTGTCAAACCCTTTTTCTCCTGCTTCATGCGTGGGAATCTGTCATGACTGCGCACAGCTATGCTTCTGTCTTTAAGTCCTTAATAAATTAACTCTTGTCCACCTCTTGGGTCTCATGGCACCTTCTGCCTTTGGTAGGCAGTTGTCATACACAATCTTTTTCCTGGAACAAGGGTGTTTACGTTGTGTGCTGCAAAACATTTATATAGTTTATCTCCCAATATACACTTTTTTCCCCTAAGATTCTTTTATTTGAAAAGCAGAGTTACAGAGAGGCAGAGGCAGAAAGAGAGAGGTCTTCCATCCGCTGGTTCACTCCCCAGATGACCACAATGGCTGGAGCTGCGCCAATCTGAAGCCAAGAACCAGGAGCTTCCTCCAGGTCTCCCACGTGGGTGCAGGGGCCCAAGGACTTGATCCATCTTCTACTGCTTTCCTAGGACATAGCAGAGAGCTGGATCAGAAGTGGAGCAGCCGAGATTTGAACCAGCACCCATATTGCCGGCCCCAATATACACTTTCAGTTAGGATCTTTTCTCTGTTGTACTTCTTGGGAGAAAGTACTGGGAAGAGTTAGGAGTGAAATGATCAGCCCATGTCAACTTCCACAGAAAGTAGGCTTCCTAGCCCGTATGAAAAGAATCATTTACCACCAAGATCGCTGTCATGTTTAAAATTTATCTTAAATACTTTCATCGCATTATTCCTTGTAATTTTTCAAAATTTAATTTTATCAAAACTACATACTTTCTCCTCTCCCATCTCACCCTCCTCTTCTCCATTTCTCCTATCCATTCTCCCCATCTATTACAGCCACCCCAGCACCAGTGATATAAAACTGTAATGTTATCTTTCACAGTTCTGGGAGTTGATGGCTCGGGTAGACAGTGTTCCCTGAGGGTTTCTCATGAAGTCGAGGTCAGATGGTGAGTTAGACTACGCTCCTCTGAAAGGATACTTGGCTGACACCAGAGCTTGGGAGACAAATGGGGGCTGGAACAGGTGAGAGTCCTTGAGCACCTGTGTGTGTATGTGGGCACTGGAATGGTAGCTACAGGGTAGCAAATGTGTGTGACTACTCAGGGTTCCAAAGGCATGTGTCAGTTCAGAAAAAAAGGAAAAATTATGTAACTTTTTATAATTTGGCCTTGGAAATCACAGTGTTAACTTCTGCTTTTTTTTTTTTTTTTTTTTAAGATTTATTTTGCTTATTTGAAAGACAGTTACAAAGAGAACTCCCATCCACTGGTTCATTCCCCAAATAGCCACAATGGCTAGGGCTGGGCCAGACAAAGCCAGGAGGCTCTTAAATTTTTATGTGCAGGTCAGTAAGAGCTCATATTCAAGAAGAGATGAATGACACCTCAGATGGGAAGTGTGTCAATTTCTGGATGTTTTTAAAATACCCTAACCCCAGCCGGCGCCGTGGCTCACTAGGCTAATCCTCCGCCTAGCGGCGCCGGCACACCAGGTTCTAGTCCCGGTTGGGGCGCCGGATTCTGTCCCGGTTGCCCCTCTTCCAGGCCAGCTCTCTGCTGTGGCCAGGGAGTGCAGTGGAGGATGGCCCAGGTGCTTGGGCCCTGCACCCCATGGGAGACCAGGAAAAGCACCTGGCTCCTGGCTCCTGCCATTGGATCAGTGCGGTGCGCCGGCCGCAGCACGCCAGCCGTGGTGGCCATTGGAGGGTGAACCAATGGCAAAGGAAGACCTTTCTCTCTGTCTCTCTCTCTCTCACTGTCCACTCTGCCTGTCAAAAAAAAAAAAACAAACAAACAAAAAAAAAAAAAAAAAAACAAAAAAAAACCCTAACCCCTCCATTCAGTGACTCAATCCTAAAGTGGTTAGTTGGAGCAGAGCAAAGTAGTCGTCCACATACACAATGGGCCCCAAATCCGATCTAGTGTCCTCATAAGAAGAGACACACACACACCAAGGGAAGAACCCAAAGTGAAGACACATTGGAGTGATGTCTACAATCCAAGGAAGGCCAAGGGCTGCTGGCAGCCACCAGAAGCTAACCCACCCAGTTTGTGGGGTCCTGTTATGACAGCCCTAGGATTAAGACAAAGTTGAGAGCCACATTTCTGTATTGAAGATTGTGTGAATGAATGCGCACTGAATGCTGTGATCTATCCCACTGTCCTTCTCCCTCTGTCTATTCTCAGAAGGAAATTGGAAAAGATTTCCAGAGATCT